CGACAATATATTTTTTTTTTAATTGACATTTATAATGCGTAAAATAATTTCATTGATCTTACAAGAAAAAAATTTAAAATGCGTGCATTAGAGGGTTAAGTTACGAGGTTTTTTGCACAATAACATCTAAATGATAAGAAACCAGAACTATTTTCTTCAATGCATTCATAATTGCGGATAGAAGGGGAATGGTGAAATCTCCCCAACAATTTCGAAAAAACCAGAGACAGGCAAATTCAATCAAATAAAGTCGCTAGTTAAGAAAATTAAGGGAACTTAATGCATATAGGTAATATTTATGTCTTTTATGTAGTTTGAGTTTATCTTTTTTATGTCTTTTGATTGGTGTTTCATTGAAAGTTCCCCCTTCACAAAGGTAAATTCTAGATCCGCCACTGTGCATAACTGGGTGATTACGAGGGCTAATAACTGTATATTGGGACAAACTAATCATCATTCAATATTCGCTTGTCTACTATTGGACATAGATCTCTATAATAATAATAATCCTCTCATAATTTTCCATATGTTTCGATCAAGAGATAAGTTAAACCACAAACATAATTCAGATAGTTGGTGTTTATTTTTTGTAATGTTATTAAAAACTTTTATTTAAAAAAATCTTTATAAAATGTATATAAAGGGTGTTTTTTTAGAGTTATAGAAATGTAAGTTGGTAACACTTTTTTAACTCTTAACCATTTTGACAGCTATCAAGTAAGTTATGTTAAGTTTGGTTTGGCATTTCAGCATGAATAGACTTAGCCTGAGCAACACTTTCAAATTGTACAAATTTATTTTGAAAATTGTGGTTCTGTTCGAAATATGTATCGCGCACTACGTCCATTTTATGGTCAACATATTAGTCCATCATCGATTAACCATGGAACATTTTTGCACCAAGTTTACTCTAAATGATAATATGCATCTACAGAGTACAGACACGTCGTACAGTGCGTACAGAAGAAGTTGTTGCTGTTGTATAGCGTAGCATACAGGAAGACACGAATCAGTGTATCTGCTTTCGTGCACAAAGGTTGGATACGTGTCCATCGACTTTATGGAAGATTTTGCAGTAATATCTTGCTTTGCGTGCTTACAAAACTCAACTTATGTAAGAATTGAAGGTACATTATCACCTAGCAAGGCGTAGATTTGGTGATTGGGTCCAACCGAGATTGCCGTTGATTCCAATTTTCATAAGCGAATTTTGTTTAGCGATGAAGTTTACTTTTGGTTAAATGTCCACGTCAATAAACAAAACTGCCCTATTTGAAGTTAACACAATTCTCAAATGAATAATGAGAAACCATTACATTCAGAAAAACTGACTGTTTGGTGTGCTTTTTAATCTGGTGGAATCATTGGATCTTACTTCTTCAACCACGATGCTGGCCAGAACGTTACAGTCAATGGTGACCGCCATTATAACTGCCTTTTTCATTCCCCAATTGAACAACCTGATGATGATCAGGAGATGTCGTTTCAATAAGAGGCGCAACATGTTACAAAGCTCGTTCCACAATTGATTTATTGATGGAAACGTTTAGTAACCGCATAGTTTCACGTTTCGAACCATGAATTAACCTTCAAGATCGTGGAATTTAACACTGCTAGACTATTTTGTGAAGGTTCTAGTCTACACCGATCAGCATAAATCGACTAATCACTTAAAGGACAACATTCGCCGCGTTATTTCCGATATACGGCGACAAATATTGGAAAAAGTGATCGAAAATTGGACCTTTAGATTAGACTACGTCCGAGCAAGACATGCCGGTCATATGCCAGAGATCATATTTAAATTATAATGCCAAAAGATTATCCTTCGAATAAAGTCAATTTCATGTCAATTGATAAAAATCATGTTTGTTTTATTCCTCTTAAAAAACACCCTTTATATTCTAAAAATTCCCTTTCGGGTAACATCACAGAACGTTTTCGGACTAATAAGTCCATTATCAGTGCAGTTAGAAGGTATATATGAGTGAAGTCACTAAATACGTGGGTAAAAGCCCTTTAAATGTTGTTAATTTGTTATGTGCTAAAAACCCTTTAAATGTTTTTTATTGTAATACTATATAATCAGTTAATTACTAATAATACAGATTAAATTATCAACACGAAACGAAATATACTTAAAAAAACTTACTATGTAGTAAAAATTTCTTTTGTAAAAGGGTATAAATGTATTAAACATTTTAAAAATATACAAAATGGATTTATCAAGTTCCAGAACGTTTTTAGTCCTATTGAACCATTCTCAGTGACAAACGTACATATGGTAGTTGAAACTAGCCACGTAACAAGGTCAAGATGACCCTTAAATTACATAATTAAAGTAATAAATTTTACTAGCGGACCAACTCGACATCGAGTTTTTTAAATGAAATTTTTATTTTGGGAGAAAAATTAAGAGATCAATACAAACAATATAAGCAAGAATATACATAACATTCATCAATAATAATGCAAGTAAAAAGTGTATTAAATATCACGAAATATTTCGCCGAAAACAATGTTTTTTGTTACAATGTCTCCATTTTCTGAAAACTTTTGCTTGGCACCGGGAGTTATGTAAACTTTTACTTTTTAATAAAAACGAAACCGGAAGTCGACCTCAAAACCGGAATGCAATTTTTAGTTCATCAAATATCGACATGGATATCATTTAGCAGTTAATTTTGCATGCTGATCACAAATCCGGTGTCAGATTTGCTCTATCTTGACGTTTTATGCGCGTTTCGGGCACTTCCGGTGTCGGATCGCAACCGGAAGTACATATTTAGATTCGTCTCGACGAGACCTTTTGATCCATATATACATTGTGGAGTCTAAAACTTAAAGTAAATTTTAACTTCCGGTCATCTCAAAACCGGAAGAGAATTTTTGTACCAAAAGTATATCTTAACAATCTCATACGTAATACTAATAATATTCCGAAAAAATATTTTAATTATCTAATATGGTTTTTGAGTAAAGTAGTGGACAAGAAAAGGGCTTAGCGTTTTAGTATATAAGATAATTATTCTGACACTAGGTCGATGTTAAAGGAGTTCTTTTTTAAGAGAACATACATATCCCCACGTGAAAAAATTAACGTGGTCCAACGAGTGGTAACAACCAACTGAGTTGGTTGAGAGTACACTTTTAAATTGTTACCTCCCTGTAATTCTACCTGATAAAACCTTTAATGCAGATTTATGTATACAGTTGCGATACCATTTTTTGACAATTTATTCCAGTTTCATAACTCCATTCAACTTGCCTTAGAGTATTTCTTCGACCTTTTTTTGTAAACTTTTACTAATATTCTATCAGAAACTTATTTTGGATCACCCGGACTTTTTTATCTAAGATACTTCCCGTTTCCCTATAATGCTGAATTATATGCCACGCTGTAGTTTTAGCAGTATTAAGTTAATCCGCCACTTCACGGATTGTTGTATTGCATCAATAATTTTTAATCATTAATTCACGAATTTTTGAATTTGAAGAGATACCAGGCACCATTTTATTAAAATAATACAGCGATACACTCACGTTGACAAGAATTTCTCGTTAATGAATAGAATATAGTAACGTTTCTTGGAATGTCTGGCTGCATTGTTTTTGCAGCCTACTTATCTTATTTTGTTTGGTTTTTAGCAGTTACTTTCTTACTGTCCCATTATTTAGTTGTCACTGATTTTTACATATTTTGATAATCCTTATGACATTAATAGGATATACGGGTTGTATAAAAAATCTTAGTTACGTTTTGTGATTATTTATCTCTTAAAATATTTATTATTTAGTATTATAAAAAATAATAATAAATTAAGTCAAACAGCTAAATTAGTTACATATTTTAATTTGTCCCAATATATACTTGTTAGGTCTCGTAGATCTCTCCAAAGTTTTCTTTGCATGTGAACGGATGTCAAGATGAAAAAATAAACTAGATAACGCAATGAAAACATGTGACCGACGCAGACTATTCGCATAAACGCACGGTAAGCTCTTATCCTTCAACTGGTATAGAAAATGGCTCAATCTCAGCATTGCGATAAAGGCGCAGAATTACGTCATTGCGTCACTTTTTGCAATATTCTATCACTGTGAAGTAACAATAAGATGCTATTTTTGATTGATTTTAATAACTTCAAGTGACGCTTCTTACTTCTTATTGGTATTTTCATTTGTAGGGATGGCTCCAAGTAATGTTTATGTCAGTTATATCTTAAATGTTCTCAAACTGTGTAACTATTTAAATGTCAAATTGGTTGCCACAAAGCGCCAATTAACAAACATTTACAGACTAATATAATTACTTAACAGAATTTTTCATCAACATTTTGTAATTTTCATTTTTTTCGAAGACATTTTGTAAACAAACATATTAGGTTAGGTTTGTAATATAAATAATATAGATAATTAATATAAAAAATATTAAAGAAATTCTATAAATAATATAGATAATTCATATATAAAAAATACCAAAGAAGTTAGTTGGGTATAACAAATTTTTAACGTTGAGTTGATATAAATTTCATTTAAAAAAGTGATTAATAAATGAGATTTAAAATTGCCGGTCGCTTCAAGCGTTGTTTCTAAGAGAACGGTTCTTTCTACACAAAAAGAGCTAATAAACATTTTGGCTTAAAATTATATCAGCTACATTAATTTTTTACCATCCACCTTCACTGCGACGAAAGGTATTGGGATCCCCAAAATTGACATTCTTAGCAAAATTTAGCTTGTTCGTATTTTATAGGTCAAATCTCTAACGACTGGAATAAAACTTGCAATGGTTATAAACATATATTTATTTCATAGATACAAAATATTATCTTTCTTATTTCTCGCACAATACTTTGGTCTTAGGGCAAATCAGAAATTAAAAAAAGACAGAGAGAATAACATGTTTAATACCTAATAAAATGAAATGCATATAATAAAATATAAATAAAATTTACACTTTGCCTATTTATTTAAAACAATTTAAAACCTAAACTCATTCACCTCAACTTGACTATTTCTTTAGCAGCAATTTTAACAATCGCGTGAAAATCTTTATCCAAGTGACTCCTCCAAAACTTACACCGACCCCACATCCGAGCAGGATAGTTTGGACTTTGAATACCCTGAAAAATTCTAGCTACAGCTCTACCAGTAAAGTTGTTATCCCTATACATGCTAATAAGACAATGAATGTCCTGTATCAGTCGTTCTTCATCAAGTTTAGGATACTTGATTTCGGAAACTAATTCCAATGGATTTGGTGAATTAAAATATTCTCTCACTTTGGTTTTTATCAAATCGTCGCCGTCTTCTGATGTACAAGCTTTAAAGGATGTTTTGGCCACCTTTAACAAAGTCTGATGAATGGCGTTTAACTGAAGTAAAGCGGTCCTTTCTTGCTCAACAACTCGATTATAAAGGGTTTCTAAAGCTTCGTCCAATTGATCACCCTCGAGATTTCCAGGAGCGAAAAGTCTGAAGCCTAAATTGGAAAATTCTACGTTTATGGATGACCGCTTCGGTTGGTTGTTTACTAAAAGAAAATATAACTGTTAGAATCATTAAATAAAAGAAAAAGAACTAAACTTAACCTAAGAAGAATGTTACGAAGAGTATTTTTTTGATTTTATTTTATGGCTTAGCTTGTATATGAGTTATACACCCAATTTTTTTTTAATTGCCGTATTGCCAGATTCCGGTAAGAGCCCAAGAAGGTACCCATTGGATTATGACAGGCAACGGTGGGGGAAATCTTTTTTGGACCTCTACGTCACGGAACAAGACACCCTGGTATCTCTCGGCCGAGTGGGATACTAAGCCAGAAGACCCCAGGGTATTATTATTAACCCGGTTTAATTTATTTACGGCAACTACAGACATAATATGCACTATTTTATTCGTACTTTTAGTTGAAGAATAGATTAAATTATTTCAAATGCACTAAACTATTAATCTCTAAAAATTTAAATTACAGTTCTGTCGTAGCTTGTCACAAATTTTTCAATTCTAGTCTATGGTTCCGTCTAAAACATGGCGATCGCGTGCTGAAAAACATCAAAGGCGGCATCTGAGAGTGGGCATTCTGATTGTTTATTATTCTGTGGTAGAGGCAACACAGCATCATAGACAACGTAATAGATATTTTAGCTTTCATTTTAACTATTTGGTTTTACATATAATAAAATGTAAATGACACTTGAAATTAGGAACCGAAAAAGTTCAGTCCATAGCCCTTTGGGAGCACCAATACGTATGTTTTCTCTATCACTATCTATATTGTTAAATAATCAAACTTAATTGCTCCAAAATTTATTTTCTAGAGAATGGCCTTTAAAGAAAAAATGGTTGTGCATCCACGAATTTACTGTTGAGCGTCAAATCATTGTCTCGACCTGCCAAAAGTGGATTTACTCCCAGGATTTTGGTTGTAGGTTGCTGATTCTGTTATTTGTCTCTTGTGTGGATGAAATTAATTATACATACATTTGGTTAAAATTACTTTGCTCTTGTATACTACGGAACGTGAGAAAGAGAGAGAGAGATAGAACTAAAACATGTGTGCAGGAAAAAAAACACTGGGAGCGACGTGCTTCATTGAGTTACTTTTTGCGACTGTGAGGACGAGAAAGCGGAAGTGATTTTTGTGTGCTTCATTGAGTTACTTTTTGAGACTTAGAGGGAGAGAAAGCGCAAGTGATTTTGTGAGGAAGCGAATGCTATCTGAATACCAAAGAAGTGTGGCCATTAACAACATAAGGTATACGGATATCTGGCAACTTACAGGGTTGGTAATTTCATTTAAAATAATACGTATTTATAAAATTATAGTTGCTTTTAGTTTTATTTGGAGGGGGTTTTGGATATTTGGAAAAGAAAATGTGAACCTATGGGTGTTAAAATTGGAGACCATACACTATACAGCTTGCATTTTGCTGATGACCAAGTAATACTTGCAGAAGATCAAGATGATATCCACTACATGTTACGAAGAATAGATGAAGAATATACTAAGTGGGACTTATCAATTAATCCATCAAAAACAGAGTAGGTAGTAGTGGGAGGTGAAGGAAAGCACTTAGAACAAATTCAAAATACTGATAGCTATAAATATCTCGGTGTAAACATTACAAACAATGGTCGGAATACAAAAGAAATAGCTACTAGAATTGGTCAAGGAAATTCAGCAATACGTCAACTGAATAGTATACTTTGGAATAACCACATCACCCGAAACACAAAAATTAGGATATACAAAAGTATCATAGAAAGCATTGCTACATATGGTTCAGAGCTTTGGGTAATAAATAAAAATCATCATCATCATCAATGGCGCTACAACTCTTCGTGAGTCTTTGCCGCGTTTACTATTGCCTTCCATGTTTGTCGGTCCTGTGGCAGTAATTCCCATTGTCGCACTCCCATCTTCTCTAAATCTTCTCTGACTGCATCTTTCCACCTTTTTCTAGGCCGCCCTACAGACCTTCTTCCATCTGGCCTTTCCCAGAACACATTGTTTATGAGGCGATTGTCGTTAGTGCGTATCACATGTCTTGCCCATCTGAGTCTATTGGCCTTTATATATCTGACCAGATTTTCTTTTCCGAATAGAGACTCTAGCTCGTTATTGTATCTGCCCCTCTATTCGTTGTTTATTCGTCAATAAATAAAAATGACGCATCCAAAATAAAAGCAATGGAAATGTATTATTGGAGAAGATGTTGCCAACTCACTAGAAGATATAGAGTAAGGAATACTGAAATCAGAGAGCGTATGGGCGTAGACATTGACATCCTGGAAACTATAGAATGCAAAAGGCTGAAATGGTATGGCCATGTAGAAAGGATGGAAAGGAAAGAGAATGTTACAGCGGATCCCCACCAACCGCAGGAAAAAGGGAAGACCAAGAAGATCGTGGAGACAAGAAGTAAAAGGTGCAATGGAAGATAGGGGTCTACAAGTGGATGACTGGAACGATCGCAAGCGTTGGAAGCTAGGTTTCGAGAAACGGCGGCAGCTGTAATAAACTTATTATATATATAGTTGCTTTTCCAGTAGGTTGCTTGTTTTCATAAAGAACATATCGGACGGATCATAGTTTCTACTTATAATTCTTGATATGGAGATTATTTATTACAAAAAATAAAGAATATTTAATATCTTGAAGAAATGTATGTATGCACAGCGTTAGCAGACCTCTAAAGCCCATTAGTGAATGGATAATTTCCAGCGTTTTCTGTTCTTAGCTATCAGTTTCCAATCTCTGATTCCCATCTCTCAGACATCTTCCATCACTCATCTTCATTTCTTTCTTGGTCTCCTCCTCTTTTTTTGTCTTCAGGTATTCTCCAAGCAATATTCTTGAGTAGTCTATTACCCTGCATTCTTTCTATATGTCCGAGCCATTCTAGTCTACGTTTTTTCACCACTTTTGTTATTTGAAGTAATAATTTAGGCAAGGACGCAAGAGAAAGGAAAACAAAAATTCAAAATTGTTAAGTTTCTAAAAAATCCATTACGTATTGTCTGAGTAAAGTATAGACATCTCGATGCATCAACTTCTATTTCAATGGCGCCAAGATTTTTGACGTTGGAAATTGGATCGGGAGTCGAAGCAGATGATGTTTAAATTGGGAGTGGTCTACATGTTGAAGGAAACCCGGTGTCGTTATCTCTTTATTGAGACAATTTGAGCGTTTTTCGATCTCTATGGCTTGTCGGGGCTACGGTTCTGGAATTTTTAAAATCATTTTTTTATATTAACTTACCAGTAGTCCATTCCAAATTCTTTAATTTGTGCTTGCAAATTCCACTCTCCCATCCCATGGCTGAGGCGACATCTACTATAGGAAACTCTAAAATGTTTCTATTATTTTCGTCGTTTTTATGTAGAGCTAACGCCATTGCTAAGGGTGGGCAATCTTTAGCCACTTTTCGAATTTGTAAAGGTCCTAAAATAAAGTTAATATTAAGAAATGCATGATGTAAGTAAGTTTTATATGTAATGATAATACGAAGAATAAGTTTTCAGTCTAATTTGTTGTATAATACAAGAAATAAAATATGGAGTAGTGCAGGGGTTTCCTGTTGAACCGCAGAATCTATCACAGAAGGTTGAGTCATTATTTAATTTTGGTCTATAAGTATGTGATGTCAAGCCTGAGAGGAATTTGTTTCCATCCAGCATGGAATCAATAATGACATATCTGCTCTTCATGATGTTACACTAGTAATTGTTAAAAAATTAAGAAAAACAGAAAACATGCAGAATATTCAAATTTAAGTACCTGCGTAAGAAATAACCTTGCAGTTCGTATACGCAGGACTGAGAAGTTCAATATATTTGTTCTTGTGAAGCTCCAAATAGCACAATAAAGTAGCAATATTTTCTTCCGGAATATCCAAACTTCTTACAATTGCTTCAATCGAAAATGCTACTTCATGTTTCGGACATATTCCTTTACAGCTACAAGGAATAAAGATCCTTTCTAAAAGTTTTCTAATGACGTGGTGATCAATGGAATTGGAATGAATGTGACGGCGAAGTTCATTTTCATCTCCTCCCTAAAGAACAAATAAAAGTTTTAATAACATATTATATCAGATAATAAGAAAAACAAATCAGAGTTACAAATGATAGTATGTATATGCGGATAATAGAACCATAGTGGGAATCGAAAAGTCAGTACTGTTTTTTTAGGGTTTTATCCCAATACTGTAGTTACAAAAATACTAGGCCGGGGCGAAAAAGGACAAAAAAATTTTTTTTGGGAAATCTGAAACAGGCTAGTAAAAAAGTTGTATATGGTCATCCCTTATACTGTGTACCAAACATAGGCCGAAATAAATTATTTTTGACCAGTCCCTGGGGCCTAAAAAATCGTTTTTTGTTTTATTTTTGGGGCGGGCTAATGTCTAATATATTAATATCGATGATATTATCTCATTAAAAATTTAACCGACGCGACCCCCAGGACTAAAAATTTAAAAACTTGAATCAATATTCGGCACGAAACGTTCTTTACATTGAAATACTGTGTAAATATGTACCATTATTCCGTATATTCATTCAACTCAAAAATCACCACGAGGAGGTAGCTGCACGGCGAGAAACACCAACCCACCCTCTTTCGCTCAACAGTTTTACTTAGTGACTTCTTGAATAGTATTGACATTTACTTTCAAATATCGGTAAATTCTTTCTGGCATCAAGTTTACCTCATATGTAACCATCTCTAGATTATTTACCACACACTTTTATTGACGGATCAGTAATTATCTTAACACATCTCTCCACCGCTTGAGTATGACAAGGAATACTGTCAAAATGTGCAACTTTTTTTCATCATATCCCACAATTCCTCGTCGGCTAAGTGCTGTGTTAGAGGAGGCTCTGTTATAGAACTATTCATCCAGTCTGTGAGATCTATGTAATGTTCTACATCGAAATTGATTTGGAGTACTTTAAAAATGCGATTTTTTATGTCAGCTGTCCTCCATTTAAAATTCTTCTGACAGCAACATCTCTAATGTTGACATGAATCTGTTAACATAGAAATAAAATGTTTTTCGGGTACACAAAATAAGCGTTGTCTTCAATAATTTTATAGTTAATAATAGAATATAATAACATAAGAGATCCGAGTGATTTCAACTTTCCACTCAGTATTTATACCGTCTCATCCCATAACACGTAATTTGCTTAAATCTATATTATAGCTTCATCAGTAGTCAAATATTCCTTCGACAATATCTATGGTACGAAACTGGCTAAGGGTTAAGTGTCCAAAATATAAACTACCTGGTTCTTCAAATAAAGCTGCATGCTCTTCAGTTTTCATGATTCGCCTCGCGTTTTCGAAGACCTTGGTTTGATCTTTTCTTCCATCGAAGTTGTTCTCATGCTGAAGTTGCCATCTGTTTTCCTTAACTCCTCTCCGAATTTTATTTTTGTCGATGACAAGTATGTATCTTTGGAAACCAAATTTAGATCTTCTAAAACAGCATTTGCAATTTTTGCAGCAGCTCTATTAGACACACCTATCTAATCGTGAGCTTTAGAAGTCTCAGAAAGCTTAATTTTTTTTCCTGTCGACTGTATTATTTTTCTTTTGCTTAACAATAGAATACAGCAACAAAAATTCTGCGTCATTTGAGTCATCCACTGAACTTTCGCTGCTATCGCTATTTGTCTTTGTTGTTATAATTTCCGTTGACGGTGAGTTTACAGGACCATCAGGACAAAGAAAACTTGGACCAGCTATAGGCTCTTCTAAGGATGCAGTTGAATTAATTGATTACCTTTAAGCTTCATACAATGTTCTGTCATTTTTTTTTCTTAAAATATTTGTAGCTTGCCTGTCAGTATTAACAATTGCCATTTTTCTTAAAGTTCTCTGGTCTTGCACAAAATCCCATTCTGGATTTGATATTTTTTTATCATTACAAAATTGTCTGTTTTCGCATTTACAAGAGCAAACATCGAACAACCGACTGGCTTCATTTTTAAATTTTTTCTGTGAAAATAGTAGTTGTTCTGCCTTTAAAACGTTTGATGATGGTCTGATATTTATTGTTATATTGCAGTAACAAGGGGACCCGATCTAACTTACACATATATGGACTATTTTTTTGTAGAATAATAAAGCAGTTTACTAACAGTGTTTTACTAGCCCCAAACATTCAAAAAATTATTTAAGGGCCAGGGGCCTTGGTTAATTATTTTTTAAACACGCCCAAATTTGATATAGAATTATATAAATACTAGTTTCAACTTTTGGCAACTAGACTTGTAGAAAAATAAAAAAAATTGTTTGTAGACTCAGGTGCAAAAAATTCGATCCACGTCTATTTTATAGAGCAGACACTTTTTCGAGACCACCACAATGGAAAAGACGCACGAAAATTCTACCAACAGATAAACAGCTGCAGAAAAGAATTCAAACCCAGAATAATAGCCTGTAAAGATAGGGAAGATAGGGAATTCCAATCTCTGAGGAATATCAGAGATTGGACTAACCTCAGTGTTGAACAGATATTTCACGTTGCAAAGATCGAGAAGCGTTTAAAGAAGTGATCGCCAACCTTCGTTAGAAGACGGCATAAGAAGAAGAAGAAGAAAGATAGGGACGGTTCCATAATTAGTAACAAAGAACAGATACTAAACAGATGGGCGGATTATTTTGAAGAACTGCTTAGCGGCAATCACGAAGATGGCGAGATTGAGGACCCCATGTTTCAAATGAATGAAGATGATCGGCAACCACCCCACCAAAGAGAAATTAGAGAAGCCATCGCAACACTGAAAAATAATAGAGCTCCCGGTTCGGATAATCTCCCTGCCAAACTTTTCAAAAATGGCGGCGACCTCCTCATGAAACACATGCATAAACTGATAACTGCAATTTGGCAACAGAAAGAAACACCCACAGACTGGAAGATAGGTGTACCTATACACAAAAAGGGAGACATGATGGTGTGTGATAATTATAGAGGCATCACTCTACTCAATATGGCATATAAAGTGTTGTCCAACGTATTGAACAAAAGACTCCTCCCCTACGCCGAACAAATAGTGGGAGGATATCAGTGCGGTTTCCGTCCTAATAAATCAAAAACGGACCAGATATTTACAGTGAGGCAGATCCTTGAAAAAATCCTAGAGTTCGGCGTCGACACCCACCACATATTTGTTGACTTCAAAGCCGCATACGACTCAGTTAATAGAAATAAACTTCTACTTGCTATGGTAGAATTTCGCATTCCGTTTGATCTTGTCCGGTTAACTGAACTTACACTCACAGGTGCAGAGAGCATGGTAAAAATCCAAAACAATCTCTCAAGACCCTTCCATTGCAAAAATGGACTAAGACAGGGTGATGGACTATCGTGTCTCTTATTTAACCTGGCATTAGAAAAATAATTCGAGAGTCGCAGATTACTACGAATGGTACTATCTTTAACAAATCAGTACAAATTGTCGGATACGCAGATGACATAGACATCATAGGTAGGTCCACAGAATCTCTGACTGAAGCATTTCGGTCGTTAAGAGCATCTGCACACAGAATGGGACTAAATATAAATGTTCAAAAGACCAAATATATGTGTTGCACTAGGTCAAGCAAACCGACACCTACACGAATAATAATTGATGACCTAGAACTGGAAGGTGTTGACACCTTATATACTTAGGGTCGCTGCTAATCAAAGATAACACGTCAGTGAAGAAATCAAAAGAAGAATAGTGCTCGCCAATAAGTGTTACTATGGCTTAAGAAGACAGATGGCCTCAAAAATGCCTGGAAAAATTAAACTGACTGTATTACAAAACACTAATAAGACCAGTGCTAACATATGGTTCAGAAACTTGGACACTAACACAGAATGACCAAGAATTGCTCAAACGTTTTGAGCGAAAAATACTAAGACGAATATATGGAGGCATAAAAGAACAAGGTTTGTGGCGCAGGTGCTACAATTTTGAGTTGTATAGAAGATTTGGAGAACCTGACGTTGTAAAATTCATTAAGGTAGCACGCCTCAGATGGATAGGTCATGTAATCAGACGAGAGGAAGATGCCATAGTCAGAAAAGTTTTTGACCGAAGAGGGCCGATCGGACAACGAAGAAGAGGAAGACCGAGACTTAGGTACCAAGACAACCTAGAAAATGATTTGAAGTCTATCGGAATTAGAGCATGGAGAAGAGTTGCCAGAAACAGGGGCGAATGGAGGATTGTTCTGAAGAAGGCTTTGGCTCATAAAGAGCTGTAAGGCCACTGATGATGATGACACTTTTTTTAGATGCTTTTGAGATGCCACTTACAGATTGGGTTTAGATTTAAGGAGGAACAGTAAATGTAAAGAAGAAATAGAGCTTATGCGAAAAAATTATTTATTTTTCAAAAACATATAGCATTATTCGAAAATTGAAAAAATGAAAAGTAACTTTGTCGATAAAAAACAGTTATAACAAATTTTTTATGTCATATGTGATATTAATACCTAGTACTACCTCCTCAGGACCTTATAATAACCTGTATACGTCTTGTACAATTGGCTGAAGAGCCGCACTAAGTTCGGGCAATTTGTTTGGAAGAGGTAGCCGAACTTGAATTCATCTTCCGAGTTCTATAATTGTTCGATTGGATTCAGGTTGAGACTAGAAGCTGGTTAATTTATACGGACAATCCCGACGTCTTGTAGGTATTGATTAACCATAAAAATGGTTGTTATATACTTTGCTCGTATCATACAACCTCCATCCACAAGAACTAAGTCAGTACGAGCATCCGAACTTATACCAACCCAAACCATAACTGAGCCTCATCGATACGTTATTTTGTCGGCCATATTGCATTGGAAAATCGTTCTCCGTGTCTTCTCCAGAGTTTTTCACGACCATCTGGGGACCTCAAGTAAAATCTGAACTCATCCGAGAAGAGAACATTACTCCAATGTACGTAATTCTAATTTTCGTGTTCCTTGCAGAAGCAAGTTTACCTCTGCAGTGTTCCATAGATAGTTTTGGATACAAGGCTGGTCTTCTGGATAATCAATTCGCTTCATGAAGTCGTCAACGATCCGTCCACCTGCTTACATCCACATTTTGGACTTAGTTCAGGCGATTTGCCAGGAATTGAATTTACATTGTTTCGTAAACACGAAGAAACCAAAAATCGATCATCGCATGCGGATGTTACTCTCCTACGGCTGGTCCTGACCTTATAGTGTAGTTGCGGTTTTGATTAAACCGCTAAATATTTCTTTGAACAGCACGACGAGCAACACCTAGCACCTGGTAATATTGATTACGACCTTCTTACACTAAAGTCACGGCTCTTGCTGCATCCGTTGGAGTTAATTTCATTTTAATACAATTAAAAATTCTGAACTAAATGAGATTTAATATCAAAGTGACGAATCAAAGTAACGAACTTAAATTTTTGACAAAAATATTTGCTTATAAGAAATGCCATAAAAAAATTAAAAATAATGTATAGAAATTAATAATTGCACTTACAGGAGGAATTCTACAAATTTATATATGCCATATAAGTCTTCAAATCCTAAAAATGGAAAATATGTCATGGATCGAATTTTTGCTGCTGAGTGTAGGTAAAATTGTTATCGGTTATATAATATAAGAAATGAAAGACACACATTTACCTTAGAATCCAAAAATACATGACATTGAGCTTTTAGACCGTCTCTGCCAGCTCTTCCGACTTCTTGCACATAACTCTCGAAACTACTAGGCATATTGTAATGTATCACAGCTCTAATATCAGACTTATTGATGCCCATACCGAACGCAACCGTCGCCACTACTATCCTCAGTTGCCCAGACATAAAGGCGTTCTGTATGGTCCTTCTACGAGACGCCGACAAACCTGCGTGATATGGTTCAGCTTGAAGGTTCATCCGCTTCCGTTTCTTGGCATTACTATTTTCTATGAAAAAAATTTTAAAGTAAATAGAGATGATACATAGACAAACGTAGTAACCAAACATATCAACGACAAAAGTCTCATCACGCAAGGTAAACCAAAAAATACTACAAGTGTACAGAAATATCTGAAACCGTAAAGGTCACTTGAGTTACATAGGATACAATGACGAGTTTGACAGGTAAATTCATTGTATGTTAAAAAATATTTAGCAAATATTTAGAGGAACTTGCCCAAACCCGGGCCCTATTCCTTAAGTGGGCTCCTAAGTTCATATATATGTACGGTACATATATATATATATATATATATATATATATATATATATATATATATATATACAAGATCCTTTTAGAACGAGATCCTACAGCATACACAAGGAATAATACGAGGAAAATAACAATATCGTACATAAAAGGATTATCAGAAAAACTTAAAAGGATAGGAAATAAATCCAACATTTCAACAACATTCAAAACAACAAACACGTTGAGATCTATTTTGTCCAAAACCAAACCTAACAATGAAAAAGAAAGGACAAAGAATTGCATTTATAAAATATCTTGTGAATGCGATAAGTTTTATTTAGGTGAAACATCAAAGCCATTAAATGTTAGAATAAGTGAACTCTTATATTAAAAATAGAGAATTTGATAAATCTCAAATCTGTAAACACGCATGGGATAATGAACATAGGGTTCAATGGAATAATTCAAATGTAGTCCTAAAAGAAACGGATGGTAAAAAAATAAAAATCAAAGAAGCGGCTCTAATTATGCTAAATAAGACCAATTGTGTCGCAAATTCCTCGGCAGAATGTAGTAGGATCTGGTTACCAATATTGAAAGAGGAAGTTATTAATAAGAAAATACCAGTATTAGTAAGTCAGTAACATATAGATGATACATCATTTATGTTTTTTAAATAACGAAACATAAAATCAGAATTTTGTTGTTTATTGAAGGTAAACTAAATGCTCGAACAAATACTTACCACGTCGGGATAGTATTATGCGGTTTTTTCCTGGTTTTTCCCTCATAATTTACTATGGAATCACTAACAGGAGAATTTTACTGTCATCATGTCATGTGTTTGTCTTTTTAAAGACGAATTACATGCTATGTTGATAGCATGTAAAGTTGATTTCATGTAATCGAATGAACTATCTTATAAGTAAAGTCGTCCCAGGAGCGCAACTCAACAATATTGGCAATATCAATATTGGAAAAGTCGTCTACTTTAAAATACATAATGTATGTCTGAATTGTCAATATAAATGAGTCAGATAAAATTAAATTATTAGAAGAATTTTTCACTATGTAACAAAAAAACAAAATTTGTTTAATTTACTGTTTGTATTTTGAGAACGATTTCCGAAGTGGAAGTTGAAACGTCAATAAACGTATTTTTATCTTTAATTGTGGCTTATTTCCAGGTAAATAGTAATTAATTTAAAATGCCACAAGAAAATAGCTTCAGAACAATATGTACGGTACAGTTGCAAAACGGCAACACTGTTAGACATTAAGTTCCTTATGAGACCAAAACACTTAACTCGTTTAAGGTGTAGTCAGTGAATAAACTAAATCGGTTGGTTGGGAAAGTTTTGGCGCGCTTTTAGTTTGTGTTGCCGGAATTAATATTATATTGGTAAGTACTTTAACCATTACATTATTTTAAAGAGGACATTACAAGCTAATGATTCATGGTCTAACATTTGGCTTTAGTTTATTTTTAAAATAAGAAATTTGATATTTAAATTTTAGTTAAGCGTTGCTTAATCAGGGCCCCCCAAAATTTCCTAATGTGGGCTCCTTTTTTGGCTTGAAAAATTGAAATTGATAGATAATATTATTGCAGATATCATGAGAAAAACAAAGACATTGAGATCCTGGCCCCTTTCGGACATGTCAAGGACGATTGACGCTCTCCAAAACAAGACAATGGGCTTAAAAAAGCCAGTAAGATGTATAATGTGCCAAGATCAACTCTGCAACGATTGGCCAAAGAAAAATATGCAAATCCCTTATATGCATCTTTTACAAAAGTTGGTAGGCCACCGGTTTTTTGCAAACAACTTGAGAATGAACTAGTTAATTATTGTTTAGCCATGGAAGCTTTGGCCTTACACGAACATATTTAAGAAGATTTGCTGTACAATTAGCTAAAAGGAATCACGTTCAGAACCCTTTCAAAAATGAAATGGCTGAGCAAAAATGGGCAAGCCTTTTTTAAAACGCCACAAAAAGATGATATCAGAACAAAAACCAACTGGGACGTCCTTTGCAAGAGCTTTACGACTCAGTAAAGAAAATACCGATAGATTTTTTAATCTTCTAGAAGATGTTTATGACAAATAAAAATTTACCCTGATAGAATGTTCAATGTAGATGAAAGTGGTATATCTATCATGTTGAAAGTGGATGAAAAAGGAAAGTTGCTGCACTGACATCTGCTGCGCGTGAATCTCTCATTACAATCGTAGCCTGTATGAATGCAACTGGAATCTTCGTCCTCCCTTTAGTCATTTTTCCACGCAAGAATTTGAGCAATTAACTGAAAAAAGGAGTTCCACTGGGAACCATATTTGCGGCACATCACTTAAGATGCATACAAGAAAATCTGTTTACAATGTGGTTCCAACACTTTATATCATTTGTAAAACCTTCGAAAGATAATCATGTCCTTCTCATCTCAGACGGACATTTTAGTCACCTCGGAGAAGACTCGGACGACAATATATCCTCAGATTCTTCTGAGTTAGAAATTCCACCAGGTGTATATTCCGTCACAGTGTTTGTTTTGTTGTGTTAAATTTTCAGATGACTGTAAAGGAGAGCGTTAGGTTAAATGCCTTATGCGTTTCCTTTGGGCTCACGTTGAGTGTACAGACGCAGAAGAAGACAACTAGATATGCGATTATTGTCGTACTTGACTGTCAATTATTATATTTTCAATGTAAAATTACAATTTTGTTCATTTAAATTGTTAGTGTTTTATTTTTAAGTTTTTCTTAAAATTTTCTCTAATATTTTTTTAGGGGCCATTTTTTAGAGGACATTACAAAAAATTTCTCAAACACAAAAATGCAATGTTCAAGAAAAAAAATTTCACGCCTACAAAACTTAATAAAACAATATAAATCAAATAGACACCTCTGTAAAACATAGTAAGATATATATTGAAAAATGTTTTTTTTTTCGAAGTTGAATTTTTTAAAATTCAAAAGCAAAGTGGAGGCCTGGGTTTAGGCAACTTTCTCTATTGTTATATTATTGTATCTATTACTTTATGTTTGTTTTGTAAACAAGTATTCTGAATATTTTCGACTACCAACAAAATATACAAGGATTTATTGTTGTATAATATGTCAAGTAATTTAATCAAACAATCATCTTATTCAACAACAGGTTCCTACTGTTAAAAAGATTCATCGAAAATGTGTAGAAGAATTGAATTATAAAGGTAGCAGAGAAAATATGAGATAGGAATTTCACCAGCTTAAGTTTTGTTGGAGAAAGTCATCAAATAATAGAAAAATATTGATTTAGAAACACGACATTAGACATTTAAGTCTTCTTCTTTTTTATGAGCCGTCTTCTACCGAAGGTTGGCGACCACCATACGATAGGTTTCTCTGTTTTGTGCCGCATGAATTATGTTCGCAGCTTCTGGTATTTGAAACCATTCTCTCAAGTTTCTCAGCCAGGATTTCTTCTTTCTGCCCAAACCTCTTCTACATTCAATCTTGCCTTCCACGATAAGCTGTAGCAGACTGTACTTATCATTACGGAACACATGGCCCAGGTATGACGCTTTCCTCCTTTTAACAGTTGTTAACTATTCCACCTCTTTACCCATTCGTCTTAATACCTCTGTGTTGGTCACTCTGTCTGTCCAAGGTATTCTCAGTATGTGTCGATACAGCCACATTTCTAGAGCCGCTAACTTCTTTATAGTTGCTGCTGTTAACGTCCACCCTTCTACGCCGTAAAGTAGCGTAGAGAGTACGTAGCATTTCGTGGCGCGCCATCGGATAGAAGGAAAACGGAATCCAGGCCGTAGAAGAATGTCATGGTTGCGGAATTTGAGAGAGTGGTTTGGCTGCACCACTAATGAACTCTTTAGGTCAGCCGTAAACAAGGTCAGAATAGCCTTGATGATTTCCAATCTCCGATAGGAGTGGCACAAAAAGAAGAAGAATATTTCAATTCGGATCTTAATCTCTACTTCTGGGTCCCACTTGTCATTTACTGTATATCCCAGATATTTAAATCGGTGTACTCTTTCAACACGTTCGTCTTCAATATGCAGGTCGATATGTTGAAATTTTTTTTACTGATCACCATAAATTTAGTTTTCTTTCTATTGATCTTCAGTCCAAATCGGCTGCCAGTTGTATTAACTCTATGTAGCATCATCTGTAAATCTTCGATGTTATCGGCCAGTATAATAGTATCATCTGCATATCGAAAATTACTTATTGGTACGCCATTAATCTTGATGCCCTCATTGTACTCTTCTAGTGCCTCTAGAAATATTTGTTCCGTGTACAGGTTGAAAAGCAGTGGCGAAAGAATAGAGCCCTGTCTTACCCCTCTAGAAATGGTTATGTTTTCACTCACCATATGTCCATTCTTCATGTGGGCTGTTTGATTCCAATATAGATTTTTTTATAATCTGGACGTCCTTAGTGTCAAGTCCTGAAAGACGTAATAGTTCTATGAGTTTGTCATGTTTGATAGTATCGAATGCTTTCTCATAGTCGATAAAACAGACGTAAACATCTTTCTGTTGATCCAGGCATTTTTTAATCAAAACTTGTATTGCAAAGAGGGGTTCTCGAGTTCCAAAACCGCATCTAAAACCGAACTGTGTTTTACTTATGCTGTGTTCTAATTTTGCTCGTATTCTGGAATGGATAATACGCAAAAATACTTTAAGGGTGTGGCTCATTAAACTTATAAGGCGATATTCACTACACGTCTTAGAATTATATTTCTTGGGAAGGGGCACAAATGTAGATTTCAACCAGTCTGATGGAATTTGACCAGTATCGTATATCTTATTAAACAGTTCCAATACTACATTCAGGTTGTTCTCGTTAAAAACTTTTAAGAATTCGACTGGTATTTCATCGCATCCTGTTGCTTTCCCATCTTTCGTTTGATCTATAGCTTTTATCACTTCACTTTTCAATATTTTTGGTCCATTCAGATCAAGAGTGTTCGTAGAAATATGACGATAATCCGTAAACAAATCTTTTATGTGGATTGCCCAAGTCTGCAACTGTTCGTCATTATCTACAATAAGTTTATTGTTCTCGTCTATTAACCTACCAAACTGTTTTTTCTTGTAAGTATAAGTAAACTCCTTGATTTTTTTATGCATGTTAAAACTATCGTGTCTTCGTTCTAGCTCTTCTATCTCTTGACATTTTTCTTGCAACCATTTCTCTTTGGATTCTTTTATCTTTCTGCTGACAGATCGGTAATTTAAGTCTGCAGTATCTTAAGACCTTTAAAAAGCTTGAGTCGATTTGTAATAAAAATTTAAAAGCATTATAGAATTGTCATCAATTTTACCGTGAAACAGGACACAAATAAAAACCAAAAAACTTTTGAACCCAATTGATCTGACAACGTCGCGTAACCAAAGTTCTCTATCGGTCTGACCTTGGCGGTTTTAGATATTTCTGTCAACCTGTACATAAAAACGAAAAATAAAATAATCAACTTTTACTTACGTACTGGTTCTTCCCCTTTAAGACACGTCCTTAAGAATCCGGCAATCCTCTCACACTCCTGTCTTCGCGTACAGTACACAATAATACTTTTACAGTCTTTGAATCTATCGGACAGCAACAACTCCAGCAAAGCATTATCTCTGTTAACATCCTTCGAAACCGAAAGATGTAAGTTATCCGGCAGAGGAATGTCGCTTATAACTCCATCTTCACCATCTGGAATTTGCAGATGTTCTATGATACTGGACTGTGTCGCTTTCGTAGCAGTTGCCGTTAGACCGAGGATTGTCTTGACTCCCAGACTTTCCCGCAATACTCTACAAATCATTAGGTAACTTGGACGGAAATTATGAGACCATTGTGACACGCAATGAGCTTCATCAATGCAAGCGAAAGCAATTGGAGGAAGCTTGCGCAAAAATGAATTAAATCCTGAAAATCAGATATACAATGTGTTAGTAGATAATTGTGACAAACTTCAGAGTGTAATTCTGCATGAAAAAATAATGAAAGTTTGCTATATAAACGTCCGTAAATGTATCATATATAAAGCGGTTTCAGAACAATAAATAAATCGTCAGCTTGTAAGAAAAATTTCAACACCCCGTATCTTAGAAACGAAGCATTTGCAGGGATATTTTTATAAAGCCAACTGTCATTTTTTTTTCATGCAGAATTACCCTCTGTAGTTTGTCGCACGTATTTACTTTCACCCTATATGTTTTATTGATTAATTATTGCAAATAGTCCAGCCCTCAGAGACGAAAAGGTCACTGAACCTCTAAAGATCATACGAACAAACTGAATTTTGCTGATAATATCAATTTTGGGACCCAAAAAATTGCAAAAAAGTTTCCCCCCCCCCGGACTTTGTATCAACCTAACCTAACCTAACCTAACCTAACCTAACCTAACCTAACCTAACCTAAACCCCGGACTTCCACCTAAACCCCCCCCCCCACCCGAAAGGAGGAGAACGGAAAGCATCGATATTTCAAACAAAAAATATAGCTGAGAAAATTTGTTCCGGTCTCTCAAAAACAACTCTTGAAGCGACCGGAAATCAATACCGTCTTCGAGGGAGCATTTTTTGTGACATAAGATCGTTTGTAATGTGTTAAAAGTTTAAATTCAGCGTTTTTAGGCATATTTCAAATACCTCATATTTGCTGCGAAAGCTCAAAATTAAAATTTAATGTTATAAGTTTTGAATATTAGGCTCTAATAATGAAAATTCCAGATCGAATGGAAATGATACATTTTATTGATCTCTGTAACGAGAATCGTAACAAATTCAAAAATCACACAACGTTTACTTAATTAAAACCTTTATAGAAACTGGCTTCATTTTCGGCAAAATGCAAAAATTGTATAAAAAAGCTGCACTCTTCACCTTTAAATCTCATTTTAATTTTTGTCGATAGGGCACAATGGTCAAAAGATATCTAATTTATACCGTCGAGTTGATACAAATTGTATTTAAAAAATTGATTTCGTGCGCGTAACTGACATTTAAAACCGCCGGTCGCTTCAAACGTTGTTTATAAGAAAACGGTTCTTTTAATACCAAAAGTGGTAATTAACATTACCACTTATCTGTATAACTGTATTGAATATCTTTTTTTAAAACTTGTGTAAGTATATTCCGGTTTTATGTCCTTTTTAAAACTTGTGTATGTATTGTCTAATATATTAACGTCTTCCGGGAGGGATGAATTAATGACTGACAGTGAGTCGCAAGACCGTATCTGTCATCATTTTACTCACCCATCGGCCGCCTGGATTCACTCGTTTTCAATTCAGAGCTACAGCTAAATATTTTTGTAACTTGTTCTTAAAAATTTTCTGTATATGTATTTGTATGCTTATTGATATGTATGTATTCATATACGAAATGTTTTCGTTATAGGATGAAGTCGCAGCAGAAGATTCTTTGTTTTCTTCTTGTCCGAATAAAACAATATGAAGGAATAAAAATATCAAGGAAGAAATGAAAGAAGAAGACAGACCTAGAAGTGCAGATATACGACTGAGATGCAAAGTGGATAGTCTCAATAAAGAGAAGAATAGAATGGAACAACCATATAAGCAGAATGACAACAAATAGAGTGGTAAAGACGGTTTCCCAATAGGAAGACCACGAAAACCCTGGAACGACAACTTACTGGAATAGTCCTGTCTACATAAAAAAAAAGAATCATAATAATCTTGTTAATATTTACTTCCTAGGAAGAAAACGTGTTCAAGACGGCGACGAAAACAATATACATACCTTTCTGCTTCTCACCCGAAACAACAGCCTCTGGTGACACCAATAAAATACTTAGTTCTCCCAAAGATATCGCTTCTAAAATCTTCTTCCGCTGCACAGTTGTTTGGTTTGAATGAAGACAAGCAGCCCTCATAAATTTAGCAATGCCTGAAAACAATTTATTTTATTATCCATTATTAATTTATTTTATTATCCAAACAAACACTGCTGGACCAATAACGCTGGTAGATTCATATTTGCAACTTAAAAGTTGATAATATTTACTGGCTGACCAAATTCATTTTGTATTTAAGATGCGCACAAAGAGAACGGAAACCGTGGAACTCGTAATCGAGACAGGAAACGAATGTACACTCAGTGCAGGTATTTTACTTGGCGAGTCATTCATCATCATTAACTAGCCTCTAACGTCCACTGCTGAACATAAGCCTCTCGCATGCTTTTCCACTTAGTCCGATTTTGTGCCATCTGAATCCAATTTGTAGTCACTCTTTTTATGTCATCTTTATAAGAAGTCCAACTCATCCTATTCTTTCTTTATTCATCTCATCCTATTCAGAGACCCATAACGTCTCATTTTATGTGTTTTAATTCTTCTTCTAATTCCAGTAATTGTTCTTCAGATGACAGTGTTCTTACATTGTCCGTGACGATATACATTTGTCGTCGTCCGTGGTAGCCTAATCTGACCCGGGTTCTTCACACCCTCTGTTTGCTGTCTTTCTTTATCGCTACCTTGACGAAGAATCAGCTCACTACCGGGGACTGAGGGCCGTGTTTTTGTCGTGTCAAGTATGCTTGGATTTTAGCCATACTATACCGCGCTGGCCAGTTCGAGTTGGTAGAGGGTAGGATGAAGATGGGAGTTTTAAAAGGGGAGAGATAGGAAAAAGGTGTGAGGACCTGGCCCCTCGGGCAAGGAAGGAGGGAGAACCAGAAGCTAGCATAAGGCAGGGTCACTAATCCCTGTAGCAGCCTGTCTTCTACTGGGATTGTAGAAAAGTGCTACCTGCCACCTGCGAGTCGTTACCAAAATAACATTCAGAAAATTCAGTTAAAAATATTTTTCAATGAATAATTCATCATTGTAACATTAACATAAAAAAGTTTTCACTTGCATAATTAAAATTAAAGATTTGAGAACCCCTATGAATAGCTCTTCTGACGAGACCTATTAGGTCGAAATACGTATCAAGAGATACATAGGATTTGTTTGCGTGAAATCAAATATTTGCTGCCTTTTCTCATTTTATTCGGATATACTCTGTGGGAGTACGAGAAACACAATTCGCTAAGGATTTCTGCTTAGTTGTAAAAGACATGTCGTGGAATGCAAATTTTAGATTCCCCATGTCTCTTTTAACATCTTTTATCAACGTCTGTTTGCCTTGCAATTCTTAGAAGGCTCAGATTATAAAGCAGAAATCTGAATTGTGTTTCGAAACTATTTTACGATTGTTTAAAGATTTAACTTTATCTGTATTTGTTCATTGCGGTAAATAATCCGTAACTAATTTCTTTCAACAGACAAACTTATTGCGACAAAAGTGTGTCGTTAAGTATTTTATACCGTTATTTCTTAGAATAATGTAAAGTAATTAAGATTTAGAAATTCTTTTAAGGTGGTATTATCCAAGTAAGGGTGGCTTTAGCCGCTATATATGTATGTACTTTATACTCAATCCATATCATTATCATCATCACTATCACTATCCTCGGATTCGCTATCACTCTCAAGATCATCATCTGATTCCTTTTCTTGAAGGTTAATAATTATTTGATCAATTGCTGCATCCATGGCTGGTTCCAAGTCACAAAACTCTTTTTAAAATTTGAGAACATTTTTGCAGCGATTGTGAAAATCTTATGAAGAAAAATTGTTAAAAAAATCATTACTCAACCTTTCAACGTCTTAAAATGAAAATGATGTGTTTTTACTTGCAACTATCGTTTTAGAGACGCCCAAACAAGTTCAATCGGATTAAGATCCGGATGATAAGGTATCAACCTCAGAGTATTGTGTCCACTTTGTTCAAGTTTGTCAACTTCGTACGTTTTAAACCTCGGTTTATTAATTTTTTTAATATTATACAATACAAATGGACATATCATCCGAATAGAAAATATTTTCGCTTCGTAACCAACATTTCATTTCGTCTTTTCGAGATGCAGATGTAGGAGCTTTCTCAAATTGTACATTGTGGTATGATGCGTTGTCAACAACAATAACACTACACGGTGGTAAATCAGATATAAGTTTAGTCTCAAGCCATTTCTTGTAATCGGTAAAATTCATGTCATGATAATCTTCTTCTTACGGTGCCTTATCCTTAAGGACGTTGGCCATTACATTTGCCCATTTAATCTTATTTGTAGCAGCCCTGAATAGTTCTATGGAGGTCATGTTCGTCCATTGCCGTAGGTTTTTAAGCCAAGAGTTGCGTCTTCTTCCTGGTCCTCTTTTGCTATTGACTTTGCCTTCGATTATAAGCTGGAGCAGTTCATACTTTTGATTTCTTATGATGTGACCAAAATATTGTGTTTTCCGTTCTTTTATTATAAGCATAAGCTCTCTTTCCTTATTCATCCTCCGCAAGACTTCCGCATTTGTCGTATGGCTCATGTAGGATATTCTGAGCATTTTACGGTAACACCAGAGTTCGAATGCTTGGATTCTTTTTTGTGTTGCTTCTGTCATTGTCCAGGCTTCAACACCATAGAGCAAGGTGGAGAAAACATAGCACTTAAGTATTCTAGTTCTCAATGAGATGCCCAGCTGGCGGTTGCATAGAACTTTTTGCATTTTGTAAAACATTGTACGTGCCTTTTCCAGGCGTATTCTTATCTCTAGTGAGTGGTCCCAAGTTTCATCAAGATTGCTTCCAAGGTACGTTGTTCTTGTTACTCTTTCCAGATCTGTTCCGTCGACATTGGCCTTCACCCTTCTGTTTTGGTGCTTGCTGATGACCATCGTTTTTGTCTTCTTTGTATTCAATTTCATTCCAAATTCTCTACAGGCTGTCGTTACTCGGTCCATTAAGCGTTGCAGGGCTTCAGCATTATCTGCCAGTATGACAGTGTCATCAGCATATCGCAGGTTATTTATACATTACCCGTTTATAATTATACCATCCGAGGTGCCTTCCAAAGCTTTCTGAAATATCTTCTCAGAGTAAACATTGAACAGCAAAGGTGATAGGACACATCCCTGTCTTACTCCCTTCTCGATATTGATGTTTCCAGATGTTTCGCTTTTTATTCTGATTTTAGCCTTTTGTTCTTGGTAGAGGTTTGAAATGATCCTTAAGTCTTTATCGTCGATATTACATGACCTTAAAATATCTATTAGTTTATCATGTTTCACCAGGTCAAACGCCTTCTGAAAACACAAGTATACATCAGAATCGACATCTCTACATCTTTCAACTAGCACACGTATTGAAAAAAGTGCTTCTCTTTTTCCGAACCCATTCTTAAAACCAAACTGAGTTTGACCAATGTGTTCGTCTAGTTTATTGTATACTCTATTGTGTATTACTCGTAGGAAAAGCTTCAACGTATGATTCATCAGGCTAATAATCCTATGCTCTTCACATTTCTTGGAGTTTCTCTTCTTTGGTAGTGGTATAAACACCGATGTCAGCCAATCATTTGGGATTATGCCTGTTTCGTATATTTTGTTAAATATATCTTCCATTACTTCGATGTGTTCGTCTAGTAATATCTTTATTATTTCAATTGGGATATTATCTTCCCCAACAGCTTTTCCGTTCTTTATCTGATTTGCCGCTTTGATAATTTCTTGTCCCGATATAATAATAATAGCCCGACTTAATCTTTGACTTAATAAATAAGGGAAGCATTTGGTATGAAAGCATTTTCCTATCCAGTATGAACACTATGACTAACCGTTGCATATTCGACACTGGTTTTCGTAAGCCTTCATTACTGTTATCGGTCTAAGCTTTTTTATTAGTGTGGGAAGAATGAATGTATATTTAATCCGTATAGATAATTGGTCGACCCTTTTCACGGTAATGTTTACCCCGTTCTGATAGTTCCCTGTTTACCGAACGTCAACACCAATGCGCATCCAAATCTCACATACAAAGTGAATTTGGTTAGACTGTAAATGAAATTTCAAAATTATTATTGAGCAACTCAACAGTATTTTCCAATATGTTTTCATATTTCATTATTTTCTATTGTAACTTGCAAAGTGATATTTGCTAAATTTTGCTTAATTTCAAACATTCGTATTTATTTTTAAAATTTGAGTTTAACATCTAGTTTTTAAAATAAAAATAATAGCTTAATAGCATTTCACATTTATCACATTTTGTTTGCCAGTATTTGCCAGTACTTTGTACATTCAACAAAAAAACAAGCAATATTTTTTTACTACATACTTACCCACAATCTGATCATCCATCAGTGACACCAGAGGCGATATGATCAAAGATATACAAGGTTCTCTTTGAGAATACAGAAAAGCAGGCAATTGGTAACACAAACTTTTTCCAGAACCTGTACTTAAAGTTACCAATGTAGATTTTCCAGATAAAATGCGCATTACTGCTTCTTCTTGACCAGGACGGAAAGAGGAATGACCGAATCTTCTTAGGGTTTCAAATACTTCAGGAGGTGTGTCTGAAATGTATGTAGATTATTTAAACTTATATTGAATAATATTAAATTTGAATTATTTATTCAAATACAAAAATCAAAGCAGAAGCTGCTGTTAAAATTTGTTTTTTGTGCAGTAACAGAAATTAAAAAGAAAAGATATTGCTATTCCAAATAGTACACTTGTAAGATCACTATGTTCATAACGTAGTTAATCAAATTCACAATTTTTCATACATTTAAAATTAAGAGAATACGTTAATAACCAACAATGGCAATTGCTCCTCAGAAATCAAGCGTAGACTAGCAGTGGCCAGAACCGCAACAGCTAAACTGATTAGAATATGGGGAGACTGAACAATGACAATACTTAACTCAGGTTGGTCAATGCAGACAGCAAGCTAATAATATTTAGAGTATTACCACGCCCTGACAAGGGCTCAAGAAATGAGGAGGAGGACATTGATATTAGGTTGCCAGTCAAGGCAAAGAAAGGTGTTTCTCCTATCGCATTGAGTAAAAAGTATGATGTTCCGAGAACAACCATCAATGAATTAAAGAAAAATGTTGAAGGAATTGAAAAGTATGCTTCGCAAATGCATTGCCGGGTGAAACATCGTAAGAAAATGAAAAAAGCCACAAATGAATCACTCGACACGGCTCTATTTGTGGTTCGTTCAAAAAAGAAGCAAAGGTATTCAGGAACTGAAGATGAAGGTGAAAAATTGAGCGCCGTAAGTATTAAAGTCGTTGACGAATATAAAAGAAAGTTTCAAGCTATGATCGATGAATATGGTTTGACACGCGATCAAGTGTTCAATGCGGATAAAACTGGTTTAAACTACAAAGCATTGCCAACGAAAACACTTGCTGCACTGTCTGAAAAATATGCACCTAGATTTTAAACGCAAAAGCAACGAATCACAGCAATGATGTGTTCAAATTCCCATCGCCTTCCTTTATTATTGATTGGTACAGCAAAACAACCACGTTGTTTCAAGGGCATAAATATGAACACGCTTTTCGTTAACTACTATGTATGCATGGATGTCCCAAGAAATATTCGCTGGTTCAAAAAGGTATGTACTGCAAACCAAAATTTGTTTATCTATTTTTCTAACGTCTTGTTTTTTAGGTTTTTATACCGGACGTTCGACAATACTTGCAAGCAAAAAATTTGCCACCAAAGGCGATTCTCATTTTGGACAATGCACCTGCCCATCCTGAGGCCAGTATGCTGCGAAGTGACGATAGAAATATCACGTGCTCTTTTCTGTCTTTTCACGCGAATACAACATCATTGATACAGCCAATGGATCAATCGGTCATTGAAAGAAACATTCAAAAGAAAATACAGAAAGAAATTTATTCAAAACCTAGTTATGGAAGAGAAATATTCTTTGCCAGAATACTGGAAAGTATACAATTTAAAACATGCAGTCGACAATGCTATGGATGCTTGGGCTGATGTTTCGGAAGTAACGCTAAAAAGAACGTGGAATAAATTAGGGCCTGAATCAACTCAAAATGAAAATGCCCCCGTAACAGCCCAGCGTGAAACGGAAACAAATGAAGTTATGGCCGAATCAACTGTTTTGTTTTCGTTGCCTAAAGAAGACATGATTAATTTGTGATGAGGACGCAAACGGCTATCGATTGCTTACAGATATGATGAAATCCTTGGAATGGCAACAGAGGCGGACGAAACTTATTCAGAAGCTGACACAGGCTTTGACGGTGGCGATGTTAATTATGCTATTGTAACTCACAAAGATTTTGGTAAGGAAGCTAGAGAAGTTGCATCGCGCACATACAATAATTCATCGAGTGGTATTCTCAGCGAAGACAGCAAATAAGGTAAATTTGATGATTTTACGTCGATTAAGAAATTCAGCCGTTGCAAAATGTGAAGCAGCCATAAAACAAAGATTTTAGAATATTTTAAATCAAATTGATTCGACTGTACTAAAATAAATCCCTTTTATATTGTTAAATAAAACAAACAAATAAAATTTAAGAGTTATACTATGAATTTTTATTTTTTTTTAATGTTCTGTTAACCATGTTTTCGATTATCCGTCATACCCTTGATCCCGTGCCCTGACGGATAATCGGGTTCCACTGTATATTCTTAATTAAAAATTAGATATAAATTAATCTTTGCTTAAATGTGATAGAACTATTATGTGTAATGTTAAATAGATAAAGATATTTACCAACAATACTACCATCTTCATTCAATTTATAATATGGTTCCACAACTTTAACATTATCCATATACATTTGAACATCCAACTTCTTAACATGTTCTTCAAGCTTCATAGTCTCCAGTAATAATTGATCTGAATCAAACTCGTCATCAAAACAAGAATCCTCTTCTTGTATATTTTCTGGCGAATCAGAGTTCTGAATTTCTTTCAAAGCTATTTTTGGTTTTCTTATGTTCAAATTTCCTTCTTGAGCCATTTTTGAAGCTTCTTCCAATGTTGGTATGGGACATTCTTCTTCTATATTCGCATCTAAAGGTAACAAAGAGTCACCCTTCATTGCTTTACAATTCTGGGCAAAATGACCAACTTGACCACATGTAAAACAAGTCTCCATTCCACCGTCACAACCACCCATGTACATGTCAGGTCCGGCAAGTGACTTTACCTTTTTCCATTGTGTTTTTTTGTATTTGCTGAAATTAAATTTACTTTTTCCTCTGACAAACACTTTTTTCTTCATGTTTATTCTAACAAAGTTGTCATTTAAACTTCCGGATGAAATTTTTTGTTGTAATTTTTCCTTGGCTTGTTGTTGTTTATCTTTAATTTTAACTGAAATAAATATATAAAAGTTTATTGTAGTAATATTCATTAAACAAGAACATATAACAATTACTGATATGTTTTAAAATAGATGAGATGTGATTGCTACTCTAATATGACCCTTACAAAGACCAGTCATGAAGAAAGATTTAAAGAGTTAAAATCATATAAATAATGTGTCTCTATCACTTACCATTATCATCTTCAGTGTTATCAACATCCTTTTGGATAACCAATTTTTTTCCTTTTCTTACATTATGTTGTGATAAAATGTTTTTAATGCTTCCATACCTAGGTGCAACTATACGAGGTTTAATAGAAAATTCTAAGTCATAAGGAGTATTATCATCATTTTCTACTTCATCAGCATTTACATCTTTTTTCTTTCTACCCCTTTTAGTGACAGCAACAGAAGATGAAACAGTTTTTTCTTTTTTCTTGGTGTTTGAAGCTTTTTTAGGAGATGTTTCGTTATCATCATCTGTAGAAATATAAAATGGGGCTCTTTTCTTTTTATCTTTTTCCGGCTCAAATGGTGGATCTTTGTCATCGGTGTCTGTTAAAAATGCATCTTCTTCTCCACTAGAAAACTCTTGTAAGTTGACTTTAAGCTTATTTTTTCTTGAAGATATTCTTTGTGGTGTTGGAGGAGGAGTTGGAGTTTGTTTTTTTGCTTTATTTTTAGGTGTCTTTTTTGTATTTCTGTTACTCTTTTTTAATATTCTAGGAGATGCACTAGAGCTTCTTAAAGTTCGTTTTACATCAATTGCATTATCTACTGGTTTTTCCTTCTTTTTGCGTATATTTTTGCTTGGTGTAACTTGTTTTGGAGAACTTATTTCGGCAAGATTTTTTAAACCGCTAGTACTTGACACATCTTGTATTTGCTCAAGTGGTTCTTGAAATTCTGTTTTTTCTGTTATTTCAACATTTCCTATATTGTCTTCTAAAACTGGTTGATTTATAACAACAATCTCTTTTTCTGTAGTATTAATTTTATCATTTATATTATCTTCTTTGTTACTTGTTTCTAAACTTTGGGATAGAACTTTTCGTTTTTTAGCAATGTGAAGTGATGGAATATAATTAGAGGAATCTTCTTCTTCGTCAGAATTTTCAATAACATCATCACTGTTATAGTCTAATTTTGTAGATTCAACTTTAATATCATCTAAAAAGAAAACGTGTTTTACATAAAATATGAACGAAATAAAGTAAAGAAGAGTTGGATAAATAAGATCAGATCCCAATGCGTATAGATTTTGCTTTTAAGCGGATATCTTTTAATCATGAATTAACACATGCAGGATGGTGATGCTAAATGGGGTAGCAAGCCTGTGAATGATCACATCAATTTAAAGTCATTGGCACATAAATTTAAAAGTATTTAAATATCTTTAAAGAGATTTTTATTATTGGGTTACTGCAAGGAAGTATACTAACAGTACTGGATTCTGGTTGTTTTTTCTATGACCAAAAAAGTCAACTAGAAAAGATAGATCACATAGTAAATAAATGACTAAGATTATGTATAGGGTCTTTAAAACATACACAAATTGATTGCTCATCTGCAGAAGTAGAAGAAACTCCAATAAATATCACCAAAAGATTTTAGCTTCCAATTTTATAGCTGAATTAAGTTCTAAAAAAAGCAATATGCTGTATATATTGGATCTTGCCATAGTTACTGGAAGTCAAAAAAAGTTTACAAAATTTTTTTTTAATATAATTACTAAATTGCAAGAACTGCAAACTCAACAAACCAATCTATCTTTATTTTGGATTAAAGAGCATTGTCGAATAAATGAAAATAAAGAATGGCCCGAAAAGCTAAAAAATGAAGTAGAACAGGAGAGTATTTAAGGTATAAATACAAACTTCCTCACAATTAAATTGCTTGACACATAAAGCACATATTACTATATAATGGAAAAGAATGTATAGAAACAGTCAAAAAGAACAGTTTTATAAAAACATAATTATTGAGTCTAGCCCTCAATCTTGGTTATCAAGACTGTTGGGAAGTAACTGTATTTTCTTGTTTTGTGCAGATTAAGGTTCAGCCATGTTTTAACTTCTCAGTATAAATTTGCACCATATTCCATTTTTTCGAACATTTTGTAGCTGTTGTTATGTGACATCTTACCACTATTTAACTAGTGTCAACCATTTAAAGAGGTGTACTTATTGGAGTAAATAAAAATAAAAAAAGCCAAGAGCAGAGTATATATTCCCTTATAAAAATTATAGAAAAAGAATATGAGTTAAGATGAGGACAATGAAAGAGCAATAATAGAATTCACAAAAATGTCAGAGAAATTGTTATAAGGAGTGTATACACACCTAGTGATGACACAGATGTAGCAAGAGGGTAAATGTTATTAAAAATTGAAGATATAACAAATATAAATAACAAGAAGGAAATACTAATCCCAGATAAAAGGTAGATACAGTGCGTTAAGTTTTGGATTAGGTATACACTCTATAAATGGCAACACTGCGCGTCGTCGACTTGCACTACATATCTGCTTCGTTGACTCGTCGTTGCTCGTCGCACGTCGGCAATTTGTCATATTGTCATTATACCGTGGTTGTTTAAAGGTATAACAGCGTAGAGTTTTAATTTATTTTTGTAAACATGTCTGTTTATATGGCCGCGGAAAAAGCTCAAATAATAAAATGGTTTTATAGTGGCAATTCTGTGCAACAGTGTGTAGATTTATTTTCTGTGTTTTTTGAGGGAAGACCAATTCCTTGTGTACAGTCAATTTATAATATTGTTAAAAAATTTGAGAGTTGTTATTGCCTCAAAAATTGCAGAAAATGTCACGCTCAAGAAGTGTTACCAGAAAAAGTTGAGGAAAGAGAATACCGGGATACACAAATTTGTGCAACAATCGAGGTAGATTCAACACGTTCAAGTAGAAGCGTTGCTAGAGAGTTAGATGTTAGCAATGTTACTGTAACGAAAGTATGGAAAAAGCACGGTTACAAGAATTTTAAATATTCGAAAACGCAGCAGCTTTATCCAGACGATTACTTTCGAAGAATGGAGTTTTGTGAAACTCTAATAACGAAGGCTAATAGTGAACCAAATTTTATTAAAAACATTTTATTCACTGATGAATCTTCTGTTTCGTTAGTAGGGAGACACAATCCTTCCATTACGAGGTATTGGGCGCGGGAAAACCAGCACAGAAGTGTTGTTTACCGAACTCAACGTCCTCAAAAAGTTAACGCCTGGACTGGCATTTTAGGAGACCACATAATAGGTCCATGTTTTTATTGAGGCAACTTGAATAGTAGAGTATACCTCGATTTGTTACAGAATCATGTTCTTCCCGCTATTCTCAATCTTCCTGATGTAAATCTGGAGAATGTTTGGTTTCATCAAGACGGCTGTTCAGTTCACAACGCTCGAATTATTAGGGAGTATTTAAACAATACTTTCCCGAATCGAGTTATCAGCGGAACAGGCGATATTAAGTGGCCTGCGCGATCTCCAGATCTTACACCCATGAACTTCTTTTTTTGGGGACATTTAAAAAGCATTATCTACGCTCATCCTGAGGATAGAGCCCAAAATTTGGATTAATTAAAAAATAGAATAAGAGAAGTCTCCAATTCTGTTACAGCAGAAACTCTTTCATCTGTTCACAGAAGTTTTTATGACAGATTGGGGTACTGTTCAGCCGTAGAAGGTCAACTATTTGAACCATTTCTGTAGGTCATAAAGAATTATTTTTTATTTTATTAGGAATAATATTTTAATTTTCAATAAGAGTATATTTTTTATTTTATCTTTTTAAAGAAATACGCTTTTATTTTATTCACCACAAAAAATTTTCCATAAAAACCGATAACAATGCACCGATTAGGTCAGTGCATTTTTATCGAATTTCCTACTATTAAAATCGGCTATATGTAATGAAACATGAGATCGGACGACAGAGAAGTACATCCCAAACGTTGTTGTGAGTTACTAAACTAAAATAAATGATTTTCTGTCGGTGTAGATACTGAGATAGTCTCGGGTCGAGAGAACGAACATTTGCAACGTTGCCGATTTTAGCGCTCCGTATAGTGTGCAATACCTAATCAAAAACTTAACGCACTGTATATCTAATCTAATGAAAGGCTAGGATGACATGTCATGCAGTTTGTCCAGGACAATAAATTCTAGAGCCACTTAGAAAAGAGATCTGAACTACCAACTGACATTTCAATTATATTTTGTTCTTGAAATGATATGGTCGATTTATTGCTAATTCATTCTACAAATTGATGATTTAAATATCCTTACTCAGAAATTGTATTACTTTATTAGTAATTAATGTTTTCACAAAATTGCCAAACATATTAGTTACTGTAATTTTAAGGTAAGATTTATTAAGCAAAATAATTTAAAGCTTTATGTTAGAAGTAAAGGGGCTATACCGTTTCTGCCTCATATCTCATGTAAAATCCAATAAGAAAACACTAAGGTTCATTCTGCTCAATTTTTGAGCATTTTCAAAAAACACATGGCGGCATTGCCAAAAGGGCATTACATAATATTTTCTTTTTATTGGTCCGATTAGAGTATGTGATACATTAAATGAAAGGGAAGGATTAAAGGAATATATTAAGATAGAAAAAAACAAACAAGGCGACTACCAAAGGAGTACTTCATAGTATCTTCATTATTAATGAACATATAGCTATATATGAGGTATCATAGGGCCCTATGAATGAAAATAGATTTATATACAGACAAAGTTTGACTGACTGACTTAAAGAAGGCCTCTGATGGACAAATAACACTGATCAAATACTATACATGCAACATAATAAATGAAAGGGGAAGGACATAACGAATATATTAGATCATACTTTATACTTGGTTTACATGTAAGAAATTTATTATTTTAAAAATAATGAGTGACTTTTGATGGCAATTGATTGGATCACCAGTAATAAGAATAATAATTTTAATAAAAAAAGAAATCAACTGTTTTTAAAGTATTAGGGTTTCCTGTACCTAAAATTAATACTTTTGGAGATAATTGTGGTTTTTTGGTAAAGGTAAGATATGTATTCTTTTATTTTAGTGTGTATGAAGATGTCATAATTGTCATTATTTTTGATAAGGGGCTTTTAAGTGGTAGAAGTCACTCATTTAAAATTTAACAATGAAATTGCATACATTCACTTTAAATTTATTGAGATTTCTTTCACTTAAAAAAGTAGTTAAAGTTACCACCATAAAAGTGGAGAGCTACAAACTGGTTGTCTCTGATCACAAAAACATTAAACTCTGATTTTGAAATTTTCCTTCTGATTTGCCATTCAAGATAGTTCTTGTGTTTCAAGTTCTTTAGTATAACTACTCTTACCTTTCACAGAAAAGTCATCAATTTCTTGTAGTTCATTTGTGAATTGGGCAGCTCTCTTTAACCAGCCTTCATCTACAGATTTTAAAGATCTTGTATGAGAACCTTCAATAAACATTTGCATAGCATTAAGAGGCTGGGAGAGTGCTCCTAGCGTATAGTTTACACCCATAAAGGAACTTTCAGAATTATCATTTTGCAGAATATTTAAAGCTTCTTCACTGGAAAAACTAGAAAATGAAGGCATAGGTTGTGATAATGTAGTTTTGTCATTTTTAATTTTCTGGGATGCTGATAATGATTTTCTTGGGTTTCTTTTACTGAACTTTGAGCCACAAAATAACTTTTTAGTGATACTTAAGTTTAACTTTGGTTTCTCTTCTTCAATTTTCTCTTCAGTTAGTTTATTAGTTATATGAACACCCCATGCTCCTTCACTTTGAACAAATTCTTCTGTATAATTTTTGGAAAGAGAATCTTCTTTAATTTCTGTATCGACCATTGTAGGTTTTGTCTCACTGTTACTCGGCGGCTCCTTGCCAATATTTTCGTTTTCACTTTCAACATCGTCGAACCCATCCACACCTTTAAAACTTTGTTCAAGTATAGAAGATTTTAATTGAAAATATCTACCATAAGCACGTCTAACTTCTTTACTTGCTTCTTTAATATCAAGCTAAAATAAAAGTTATGTAACGAAAGCAAATAATATTCACAAAATCATTTTTATATGTTTTACCTTTGAAGGAACTCTTTTATATTTTTTCTGAAAACGATGTTCCCATACTTTAACAATATATTTGCATTTGTCGTACGTTTTTTGAAGCTCTGGGTCCAACAAATCCATCTCTTTAGTTAAAACATACAGTCCACATAAAATTAAAAAATATTGATATAATAAAACAAAAGGAAAATATTCTGTTCTTGATAATTCTAACCAATTTTCATTTCCCGCTCCAGATTTGACGTTTTGAATACTTTTCTGTTATTCAGGCAAAAAATTAACTTCAGGCCACAGAACAAGAAAGACAGAAAAAACTTGGAAAAAACATATTTCTTTTTTCTATTTTTTACTTTACGTGTATAATCATATTAAATCAATCAATTAAACAATTATATTAGAAAACAACGAGAATTTGAGAATACAAAATGTTTATAAATATCCTTCCTAAATATTACAGAACACGAACAATTTCCGTGACCATAGACATAATAAGAATTCTTATTATGTCTATGGTCACATGATGTCAACGTTTGTCAACGTCAATTTTTATTTATAAAGGATGTGTTAAGGTTAAGTCAAAATTATTGACCGATTTTAAAGACATAAATATAAACAAATATTGAGAATAATGTCTGAGGCAGTAAAGAACCTAACTAAAGCTGTAATTGAAAAAAACGAGACAGACATAAGTGATAATTTACAGTTTTTACTTACGCAAAAAGACACCAACTTAAGCACTGTTGATTTGTTTAAAGATTTATTGAAATTTGACAATAATAAAAGTATTATTAAGCATACAGCTGAATTAATAGCAGAACTTGCACGAATAGAATCAAACCGAGAAATATGCACAGATAGGAAACTTCTAGAGGATCTTATAAACTTACTAGATAATGAAGATGCTGATATCATTTTACAGTCAATAAGAGCCATTGGAAACATTTGTTATGAAAATGAAAAGGCTTGTACGAATATTTATCTGATTGGGACCAACAAAATTTTAGCTATTCTTAAACAATATGGAAGTGGAGACAGTGACACAGGTATGTATATTTAATATAGAATTGATGTATTACTATCTTTTATATGTTTCAGATAAAATAATAACTACCAAAACATCAGGATTGCTGGTAAATCTCTTTACTTTAAATGTAGAAGTTATGAAGGTATCAATACAAAATGGTCTTATGCCAATTGTAGAAGATATATTAGTAAAATATTCAAAGCAATTTGATTCAAGTGAAGCATTATTAACATTCCAAATATCTATAGTAAATTTAGTGGAGAATTATTTAGACGGATATAATGCTGTATTTACCCATTCACTTTGTAAAGCTTTGATTGATATATTTAAGCAGTCAGAGATTCCTGAGATATCAATTCCTTGTTTGGAGATTTTTTATGGTTTGTGTGAACAAGGTAAGGTAATAAAATCATGTTTGAAGCAATTATAAATAGGCAAAAGTAAAACAAAAATTTTAAACCAATTTATAGTACTATTACTTGCAGTTAGGTTTTAAAACATGTTCCATAAAAAGCACTTATGCTGCTAATGGTGCTCTATCTGAAGCTATTAAGCAACATTTCTATGCAGTAGTCATTTGCATAGATGACAATGATTAGCCAAATAAAGACCTAAATATGTAACTTCTCATATACCATTCTTATACCTTGAACAGTGAAAAACTTTGTATAGTGATTTATTGATTTATTTCTGGGACTGATGTTGACCAAGTGGTTCCACTTACTGATGAAGCACATAAATAAATTGATCTCAAAATAAATAATTCCAAAAGTAACTATCAATTAATTATATAAGAGAGTACATATTGGTATACTGGAATCATTACTTTATGTATATAATACAAAAATTTACTTGTCCAATAACATTGTATGGTTTAGTTCCACAATAATAAAACCAAAATCTAGAATGCTGAAGCACTATTTTGACCATTGCTATTACCCTTTTAGTTGTAGTTCTTTGACCCAGCTTGAGTTTGATAGCATCTTTGTTGGAAATATACAATACAAAAATTCCTACTACTTGCTTTTAATAGTCCAAATATAAAGGCCGTATGACACTATGCATTTTCTTGTATCATTTCTTATATCGTTGTGATATAGAACGTTATTTATGTTTTGCCCTGTATGACACTATGCAAGTTCTTTTACCAGAAACTGTATGTGATTTGGCACATGATTGGTCGAAAATTTTGACACCTATAAAAATAGAACTGCAGTACCTGAGGCACAGAACGACCGAACAAGGGCCTGAGGACCCAAGCTAACTGGGGACTGAGAACATATGCTAAGGATTATTTTTAAAAATACTGTGGTGCAAAAATGAAAGAAATAAAATGTCCAATATGAAAACTAAATTGGATAAACCCAATTTTTGAAGTTATTCAACAGGTTGTAATGGAAGACAGAAATAATAAATATTTGGTTGTAATAATTTATTTGTTTTTTTTTAAATTATGTGTTTGAATGGTATGCTCATTGAAACTCTATCTCTCTTATTTGGGAGATATAAAATAATCTTTAAACTTATCACGAATTTATAGTGGGTTATGTATTGTTTTTAGTAAACATCTCCTCCTACTTTCAGTATGTTCCATGCTATTTGATACAGTCACTGTGATTTATTGTTTTTAATATGGCTACTGATGTTCTAATCTTGGTTATTGTTGTTAGGCACATTCTCTGATGTTGCTTGGCCTAATTGTATGTATACATCAGAGATCTACATATCTCTGGTATATATACAAAGTTCTCCCAGCCATAGAGAAATAAAAATAATAATTATTTTTATTTCTCATGCTCCTCATCCGCCAATATGGCATGAAAGAAGTTTTACGTTTTAGGGCTTTGCGCACAAATTGGCCGCATTTCTTGTACAAGAAAATGCAGCGGACACAAATTCTTGTATCGTTTCTGATATAAGAAACTATATGCCTGTAGGACACTATCCATTTTTTGTTATATCAGAAACAATATAAGAAATGATACAAGAAATGCATGTGTCATACTGCCTTACTAGTAATAGAAGTTTTCGAAAATGTAGCTCTATCGCTGTATCCTAAAAATACCATGGACAGCGAAAATCACCAAATATAGATGTCCTTAAAGAATAAACCAAGAACATCAACTTTCGAAAATCATCAAGAAAAGGGAAACAGCGTATCTAGGTCACATCATGCGAAATGAAAAATACCAGTTCCTCCAACTTATAATTGAGGGTGAAAATTAAAGGCAAGAGAGGAATGAGATGCAAGAAAATGTCCTGGCTCCGAAATATAAGGCAATGGACAGGGATTAACAACATACAATCTCTGATACATATTGCAAGAAATAGAGAATTAATGGAAAATGTGATCGCTAATATCCATTAGTGGATTTGCAGCTGAAGAAGAAGAAGAAGAATACAAGATCTCAGTGCCGTATCACTATGTTGATAATGCAGTATCACTATATTGATAACATAGTTCATCAAACTCACATTTTTAGATACATCTAAAATTAGGAGAATACATTGATAATAGTAATAGGTTGGTAGTTAAAAAGTGGCTGCACATACTTTTAATTCAATTAATAATAATAATTAGTTTTTGACAAATATTTTATTTCATTCATTTATTTTTTTAATAAAATATGCTGCTATATTAATTTCTTATTTGATTTTGTATCTTAATATTTTTATTGTTTTTATGATTATTTTTTGTTCTTTATCATTTGCTATATTTGCAGTTTCCTATACCTATATATCCATCAATAAAAATATCTATTTGGTTAATTTTGTTTTATTTTTCAGAGGAAATAAAAACTATTTTTGCAAAAGAAGGTGTTTGTGAACTGTTAGTTGAACTTATTGAAAAGTACAAAGAGAAATTTAATGATGAAGACAGTAGGGATGCGTTAAGACTAGCTTGTGATTTTATTGTGGTTGTTGCCACTGGAGGTATGCTATTTTTGTGGAATAATTAATATTAGATTCCCAATTAATCTCTATATTATTCTTTCAGATGACTGTATGAATCTCTTATATAAAAATGGTCAAGGATTGTTGTACAAGAAAACTTTAGCTTTGTTAGAGAGTGATGACAAAGATTTACTCAGTACAGGAATTTTAGCCATTGGCAACTTTGCTAGAAAAGACACACATTGTATTGAAATGGTGAATGATGGACTTTCTAAAAAACTCATAGGTAAATCCCTTTAGTCCCCAGTCAGCCAAATATTTTGTATTGTTTCCTTATTATAAGATCTAGTTTAGGGGACGGATATAGTATCAATTAAACTCCAAAGGTACCAAATCTTTGACACTCAAGCAACACCATGTAACTCATTTTCTTCAACTTTACAGGAGTGCAGTAATAACTTACTTTTGTTGACAACGAACCCAGCAAACCAGCCCTCAATGGTTTTGTTATGAGAACTGAATGAGATATGTGGTGTTATGGTTAGAAATGTTTTATGTGGCTTTATTGTGATTACAGCAAAATCTGTTGAGATCTTTTCAAATATACAGTCATTCAGATATTCCATGTGAGATTTCTCAATAAATGTTGCTTGGTTGATGATGAAATGTTAGTTTGATATATTATTACTAATAACTTATCCTATTTTCTTCATTATTTTCATTAAGATTCTTATATAGTTCATTAATAATTGGAAAATTTTTATTATTTTTCACAATCAATATTGTTCATGGAACTGCAAGATCGTAGAAGATGGAGGCTATTGTGGATGAGGTGAAAGCTCACCTGGAGTTGTAAAGCCAGTCAAGAAGAACAATACTTCATTTGTATTCTTTTTGTATACCTATGTATCAAGTCTCTCAACAGCACTCACCTCCTAGTGTAGATGTTGATCAATGGTCTTGATATCTCAGATCTAAATTGAGATACAAGGTGTTGAAATTCAAAAAATTAGTTTGATAATTCTAGGAAACTTTGCTTAATTTTTGAATGTAGAAACAAAAGTATACTCGTATGTATATAAAATAACTCGTGTTCACTGTCTAAGTTAAATTTAAGTCATCTTTCGTGCATCTAATCTTATTAATTGCAAAACTGTAATTTAGGTTCTATCTTCAAATATGGATGCCTGCATATCACTTGTGTCTTTTGAGCCTCACATGTAAATAAAAAATTGAATTTATACCATTTACCAAAGTTGAATATATGTTGCTTATGATCTTTAATTCTCCAACGCTCAATATTAATACCATCAATATTATTTCCCATGAGAGATAACATCTAGAATCTATCTTAGTTGTTCTAGTTATTCCTAGAAACATCTAGAATCTATCTTAGAATCTATTTTAGTTGTTTTTCACATCTTTTAGCTTGTGGTATATGTCTACACCTTTTAATTGTTTAATATATTTTACTACAGACATGCTTAAGAAATATAATACCAGCACCAAGCTAGAAGATGTCAAGGTACAGCATGCTTTACTCAGTGTTTTGAAGAACCTTCTGATCCCACAACAAAACAAGGCCAAAGTCATAGAGGAAGGACTCATAGAAGTTATTTATCCAATGATACAAATCGACCAATTCTTCGTTGTGTTCAAGCTTCTTGGTACATTTAGAATGGCTATTGAAGGACAAGGTAAGGTGGTTTTCCATAAAAATATAAAATTTCTAAAAAAAAAAAACACAGAATAAGGTAATATTCAACCATCGCTTAATATTCCATAAAACTGTTTTCTTGTTAGATATTACAGACAATATAGTGTATTAACACCTAAACTTTCTCTTAAAAGTCTGTTCTTCATTGACACTATGACATGTTTAAGCATAAATTGAACATCATTAGATAGTGGTAAAAATCAAATACCGGCTTGCTAACAAGCTAGCGCCATCTACTTTGGATGAGCAAAAATAAACATCCTGAGTGTAATTTTTGGGATTAATTTATAGTTTTTTTAAGTTTGTTCCGGTTCCTTGTACTTAAAAACATTAACAGACATTTAAGTAAAATACATACATAAGAAATACATGTATATCCATATCACAATTAAACAAATCTATTACATAATAAATCTTTTCACCTTACAAGAGATCTCTATAAATTGATTCATACTGATGTTAAATAAGTTCACATCTGAGTTATTTAAAAATCTCATATATGTGTGTAACATATTATAACTATCACATGATGTTCTATGAAGGGCGACATTAAAGTAGTAATATGGCGCAAACCTAAATACAGAACATTAAATCTGATTTGATTCAGAAGGTAAGGACAATGAGTACAAGTATTTATATTTTTAAAATTAAAAACAACAATATTATGAGTTCTAAATGCACAGTGTCTCAAAAACCTATGTTGAACAGAATCTAATGTGTCAATATGAGATTTAAAAAAGGGTGACCAAACTACACAACAATATTGCAATAAATAAAATCCTTACAATTTCTTGTGACAAACTCAAGTAATTTAGAAGTTGATATACTTCTAAAGCCTTTCATCTAAAAGTATCTCCCAAGTCTTTAATGGAAGAGACATACTTGGTTGAGAGAGAGGTTGCTCATCAATGAAAAGTTGTACCAATCATGTTCAATTTTCGAGTAAAACTAATATACTGACAATACTTATTAACATTTAAATGAAGATCACTCCTACTACTTTAATTGTATAAAAGATCAAGCTCCACTTGTAAAGACAATTGATCTCTAAAATCATCAACAACCATCTAGAAGTTCAAGTCATCAGCGGAAATTAAAAACTGACTACATACTTAAAACCAGTTCACAATATCATTAATGAATATGTTGCAAAAATCGGCGATGTGTGTCCTCCCTGAGGAAACCATTATTGACACTGACAAACAAACTGAACATGAAATTCCACAGAAATCAATTTTGCAAGAAGAATTGATAATCAACGCGATCAAATGCTTTACTGAAGTTAGTATAAATAGCAATCACCTGCTTTCGACCCTCGATTTGCTTCAGTACTTCAGACTGATAGCAAACTAAATTAGTAGCTTTAGATTTTTTGCACAAAAACGTCAAAATCCGTGCTGAAACTCTGAAATAAGCCCAGTGCATAATCAAGATAGCTGTTTTGCTAATAAACTATCGAACACTTTAGGTATTGCATACTGAATGCATATGCTTCCATAATTTTCAATGTCTTCTTTCTGACCAAATTTATATGACGGCACAACAAAACTCTCCTTCCAAACATCAGTAAATAAAGATGACTGTAATGAGCTATTATAAAGTATGTACCGGCCATGGTAAGAGTGCAAGCAAATTTTTTTTAAAAGAAAATTGAGAACAGCATCAAGTCTGGAGGTCTTATTTGGAAGAGAACTGATGCAATCAAAAATATCAATGAGAGTGATTTCAGAGACATTATAATTTGTTCCAACAATTAAAGACAATTTAAAAGCAATGCTTGAAAAATTAGCAATTTTTTATTGAATGACTGAAAACCTGGCAATCTTCAAGAATTAAAAGATAGGACTACCACAGAGATAAGAAGAATCTTGAGCAGTCGTAGATGTTGCAATTATCTATTTCAGTTTTTAATAATCGCATGGCTTGTTTGTATTACATCAAAGTAATCCACTCAAGAATTAACAGAAAACTAGATGCAGATATTAGTAATACTCAATTTCGGATTTCGGAAACGGGTCTAGGAAACAAGAGAAGCACTATTTGCACTTAAACGTCCGTATGCCAAAGATGTCTAGATATAAAAACCAAGATATATAATATATATATATATATATATATCATATATAGTGCTTCATTGATCTACACACAAACGCGTTTGATAAAGTTTCGTCACGATCACTTAATGAAACTGCTAGTAGAAAAAAACTTGGATAAAAGGGACATTAGAATGTAATCTCTAAGATTTACTATAACCAAAAAGCAAATATCCGAATAGAGCAAGAGACAACGGAGGAAATACGAGATCAAGAAAGGCGTAAGACAGGGTTGTATACTCTCACCGACCTTATTCAATCTATACTCCGAAGACATTATAAACACAGCACTTTCGGATCAAAATATAGGTATTAAGATAAATGGCATCCGAATAAACAACTTGAGATATGCCGATGACACGGTACTAATCGCAGAAACTTGGGAAGATCTTCAAATACTAATTAACAAAATAGTAGAATGCAGTGAAGAACACGGATTATCACTTAACATAAGCAAAACAAAAATAATGCTAATATCTAAATTACCACAAAACTTCCCTGACATAACCGTGCATGATCAAAGAATCGAACGTGTAAGAAGATATAATTACCTGGGAACTGTTATCAACGAAATAATGATTGCTCTGAAGAAATCAGAACCAGAATAGAGAAAGCTAGAGCCACATTTACTAAATTGAAAAAGGTGTTCTGCGGAAGAGATCTAAGTCTAAAACTTAAAATTCGCCTTTTGAGACTGTTACGTTTATGTCAGTTCTCCTCTACGGGATGGAAACATGGACATTGAAAAAGATCGATACCAAGAAAGATAGAAGCATTTGAGTTGTGGATGTATCGTAGAATATTAAGAATGCCCTGGACAGAGAAAGTAACAAATGTGGAGGTTTTGCGAGAGTGCGGAAAGAAAAAGAGCTGATACTTACTGTTAAAAAGCGCAAACTACAATATTTGGGACATGTTATGAGAGGAGATAAATACCAGTTGCTGCAATTGATTATACAGGGAAAGATAATGGGAAAGAGATCTATAGGAAGAAGAAGGCATTCATGGTTGAAAAACTTGAGAGAATGGTACAATTGCACCAATTACCAACTGTTTAGATCTGCAGCATCAAAAATACGCATAGCTTTGATGATAAGCCAAACTTCGGAAACGAAGACGGCACTTGAAGAAGAAGAAGATGGCTTGTGTATTGAAGGAAGCAGACAACGTTTTTAGAATCTGCTGTAATCGCCTTAGCCCGTTTTCCAAAATTCATAATTTTTCTACTACTCAAATATTGACAACATGAATTTCAGTTGTTTTAGGTTTTCTGCGCTGTAGTTTGGATAAATCTTTCACTGCACGAGTTTTATTAAACTTTTTACTAATTTATAGAAGATTATTTAAATTCAACTAGTTATTCGTCTAAATAAATATATTATGTTAACTTCGGTGAAGATATTATAAATGTAGCAATAACATTACATGAAAAATAATCAGAATTTCTTAAGAACTTCAAGAGGCAAAAATATACAGTGTTCCATAAATACGAAAGTTCATTAGTTTTCCAGAAAAACTGAAGATCTGACAATAATTTAAATACCACCATAATCTCGGCCGCATCACATGACCTTCTCTTATACACCAAAATCTATAAAAACGTTCAAGTCGTTCCCGAGATCATTGAGGCGTTTAAATACATAAAACTCATTCTGTATGTGAGATTGTTAGACAACATTCATAGGCAATATTATGTAGACTGGAGTTCGATAGAGCATCACTCGCTTGTACAGCATTCAGTTCCTTATCGTTGGAAAAAACCAAACCCAAAAATACTTTTCTCTCATTTGATATAGAATGACATTCATACAATTTTTAAATAACCAAGTGTTTGGGGAATGTCCACAGCTGGATCTCCTCCTGGACAATGGAATAATACACTCCCCTTATCAACTAAGGGAAACAGCTGAACAGTATGTTCAACAGAATTGCAATGTTTGGATATAGATTCTATGTTTGACCAGCAAGCGAGAAAGACGTGTTTTAGGCACTAATTTATCGTGCTCGTTAAATAGTAATTATTGAAGTATATTTAAAAGTAATTAAGTATAAAAGTGAAAGTGATTTGTATACTGAATATTGGAATCGTGAGTAGATAAAATATACTTTTTTCATCTATTTGGATTTATATATTTAAGTAAACAACTGCAACTAGTTATAAGTATTATCCAATTTCTATGAACTGGTATCACAACGAAAGCTGTAAAACAGCACCGGTTTTAGTCGGATTTTAAATCCATTTAAAAGATGTCATCTTCCAGTCAACTACCACAAAATGCATCATACTCAAAAGCAGTTAGTCAACCACGTAGTATATTAATCCCAGGCAGAGATCAAGCTATTCTATTTAACACTCTAGAGAATTGTACAATTAATGACTATCTTGAAGGATTGAGTCAGCATATAGAACCGAAAAATATAATTTTCGCATCCCGTATATCAAACGGTAGAATATGCATATATCTATCATCCAAAAACCTAGTAGATAAATTCATAGCAGAAACAAAGAAGATAATAGTAAATGGAAATATACTAGAAGCGAGAAGATTAATAACTCCATCAGTCCGCTTAATTCTGTCCAATGCATGTCCAAGCATACCTTCTAACTTAATAATGGACGAATTAATAAAACTAGGTTTAAATCCCCTCTCAGACATATCATACCTACGGATAGGAGCAACCAATCCTGCCTTTAGTCATATTCTAAGCTTCCGAAGACAAATTTTCGTTTCACCTTTCCAGACAACTTTGTACTACCTGAATCTTTTATTATCGAGTTGGAACAAACATCATACCGCATATTTATAGCCCAAAACGAAAATTGTTTCAAATGCAAATTAACTGGACACCAGGCAGCTAATTGTTCAATTATTTCACCTTCTAACATAACCGGAAAAAGAACCCTAGAAGATGCAATCACGCCACCCTCCGAAGAAAACTTTGAAAAACCTAAGCTTCAACTAAAGAAAAAAACCAAAACTGATGATAAAAATTTAGAAAATGATATACCAAATCTTCAAACATTACTAGAACCAGTTAGAGAATATATAGAAAGGGAAAAGCAATTGTTAAGCTTCGATCAAGTAGTTGAATCTATTCGAAAATATACAAGGATCAAAAGACATAATCAGCGTAACAAAATTGTACTCGGAAGACTCTCATGCACTTATAAAGTTTCTACCGGAATTACATCCATACTACATCGACAGAAGAATGAAAACCAAAAGCACCAAATTAATACGAAAACTTGGCAAACACATAGGTTTTCTCTCTGCAGTGAAAACTTCATTGTCGGAAGAAGATTCCGACTCATCGATAAATAATTCCTCTAAAGAATAATTACATTCACTTCTCTGCTTCAATGGAACTTAAATGGGTTTTACACCCATTTTGAAAAACTAAAACATATTATCTCTGAAACACACCCATCTATTATCTGTCTACAGGAAACAAATTTTAAAAATCCAAACCATGTATATAACTTTCGTAATTATTCATGTTTTTATAATAACAGATTAAACCAAAACATTGCCAGTGGAGGAGTAGCAATTACGTGATGAAAAATTCATGAGCACACAGTTACCAGTGACTTCAAATAACATTGAATTAATAACTATTACAATAAATATACCTCAAAAGATTTATATATGTAATATGTATATCCCGCCAAATCAAACTATATCCCAAGAAGATTTAACAGCTATTTTAGAACAAATTCCTTCACCTAGAATTATCGTTGGAGATCTTAACTGCCACAATCCGATGTGGGGTTCCATAAAAATCAACCCAAAAGGGCGAATCATAGAAGATATTATAACAACCCAAAATCTGAATCTACTTAACGACGGAAGACCAACCAGATTCAACATACATAATGGGCACATCATCGGCAATTGATATTTCGCTGTGTGACCCAGTTCTGTCCACTACGTTAACATGGGACGTTCTACCCTACTTATATGGTAGTGACCACTACCCATTATAATTTCTTTAACACATCAAAAAACCACCAATATCGAGTCGCCTATCTCAAAATGGAATATTGAAAATGCTGATTGGGACTAATTTTAGCAACAGATCGTACATGAATAACCAAACCAACTTTACATCATCAAACGATATTGACAAGTTTTTAAGTACATTTTTACAAATCATCACAGCAGCCGCAGAGACCATCTTCTCCCCTTATTCTTATCAATCCCATTACTTCGTCGTATTACTGCGCAGTTGTTTGCAATATTACAAGCAATTATCCACATTAAAAGAGACGAAACAGTCCCCGTCTCTCATAATAAACGATTCACTAAGCTCACTTCACACTATCAAACGTTTATATACCAATAATCCAATTTCCTCGCAATATCAAATCAGAAATAGATATTCTAAATAATAATAAGATCACTGTTGACTTCATGTTTGTTCCATCACATTCAGGTATACAAGGAAATGAAGAAGCAGATGAACTAGCCCGCTTAGCATCCTTCAGCCAGAACTCCATTCTCATTAATGAGGTTCCTTCAGATGACTTTAAGTCAGAAATAAAACATAAAGTGTTAAGTGCGTGGCAAAAATAAGTGGAGTGCATCACAAAATAAACTTAAAGAAATCAAACAATTAGTGAAACCGTGGCTCCAACCCCACAGCGAATAGTACACGACCAAGTGAAATAACACGTTTGCGACTAGGACACACTAACTTTACACATAAAACACCTCTTTACGCGAACTGTGCCGCTAATGTGTGAAATGTGTCAAGTAACACTCTCCGTGAAACATATACTAACTCAGTGCAAAAAATATGAAGCAGCAAGAAAGAAGCACACTATACCAAATAATATAAAGGAAGCCCTAGGAAAAAATATGAACATTAAACACACAATAAGTTATCTTAAAGACTCAGGACTATATCATTTATTGTAATTTTTTCTAACTTTACCTGTATTTTACATTTAGGTCGCTAATAATCCCTGGTGGTTACAGCGTAAATAAAAAAAAATGTTGGATATATTTATCACAAGGATTTTGATGAGGAAATGTAATATGAGGAATGTAAACACTTCCAATAACAAATTGAGACCTATGAATTTGGCACAAAATGTAAAGCTGTTCTATTCGATATCCACCTGATTCGTTTTTTGTGTTCCGTCTGTGTTACGAGTCTGTGTTTTTTTTACAGAAACATATTTTTATAGGAAATATAATGCAGGTTGAATTATTACACTTAAAAGATATTGATTCGTGTTAATTCATTTATTAGTGTCAATATAATAATAATATTTTGTGTTTAGAGTCTACCGCCTTGGATATACTTTCCCGGAAAGACTTCATAGAGAGACTGGTACACTGGTGTTACAACTCGGACCATCTTGGAGTAAGAGGAGAAGTACCTAGGCTGATTTCATGGCTTGTAAAATCGTGCCATTCCGTAAAACCGTTTTATTTATTGCTTGAAGTACCTGACAGCATCAAATGCCTCGTAGAAATGATATCCTCGAATCATGCAGTAATGCAGAATGAAGCTTTTTATGCATTGAGTCTCTTGTATGTTGGTTTATCCAGTCAAAACTGCGAAGACAGTGTAAATAAATTCAATAAAGCATTGATAAATGCTGACATGGTAAAAAATTTACATTTCATTTTGACTAAGTACGCTGACAAAATGGACACTCCTACAATAGAAAACTTGTTGGCATTGTTAGAATATATTTGTAAATCGGAGGAAATTGTTGATCATTTCAAGAAAATAGAATTACATACACCTCTGATTAAGTTGTATTCAAATCCGAATATATTGAAATTAGATAAATTGGATAGTATTAAATCACTATTATGTGATTAGATTTTTTTAAATTATAACAATTATGAAGCTTGTTTCTTAATTCAGTAGTAAACTTTCAAGTGTACAAAATTGTAATTGTTTAAATTTTAGATCTATTTAACTTTTGTTAACTTTTTTTTTACAAGATGCCATATAATTGATTTTTTTTGTATTGTTAGAGCTATTCTATTTTTTATTTATGCCTTCAATTTACTTGTATCTACAGTATTGTGCGAATTAATGGAATCATAGGCTGTTTTAATGAAAAAACAGTTTATTTAGTAAAAAATTATATTTTGACAAAACTATAAACGTAAACTTTCAGTAGGAAATATGTCCCCCTTTGGCAGCAATTACTGCTTTTACCCCTTTTGGCATAGATTCTATGAGTTTCTGGCAGTTGTCAGATATCCTTTCATCTCGATACCAAACCTGAATGGCCGCTTCTATCATTTTTGTTTTTAGTGGTACAGTCGATTTTTCGAAGTCTAGCTTTGCAAATGGCCCATAAATTTTCAGTGGGTTGAGGTCGGGCGAATTACCGGGCCAATCTAAAACATGAATCTTCTTATTTTTGAAAAATGCCATCATTTCCTTTGATTTGTGACAGGGAGCAGAGTCCTGTTGAAGAATCGCTCCTCCTTGGGGTTGACATTTTTGGAGTTGTTTGTCCAAATACTTTTCCAACATGGATTTGTATGTTTGGCTGTTCATCATGCCTTCAATTGGCACCAAAGATCCAACCCCCATGTATGAAAAACATCCCCAAAACATTTTCTTGTGAATATTGAAAAAATGAAAAAAAATTCACAGAGATTCCATTAATTCGCACAATACTGTATCTGATAGTCACCTCTCCTCTGAGTCTATTTGTATTTATTTATGTATTTTGCTTTATATTTCCGCCGTTCTTCACTAATTTCAAGAGTTTCTGCTTTCATCCAAATTCAAGAACTCTCGAAAAATTTGAACTCCTCTATTGTTCTACGCGTATTTCGAGTTATTTAACCCTCATCAGGAACACTAATCTTACTATTGGACGATGTTAGGAATAACTTTTTATTCTGACAAACACTATCTTATACATTCTTTACGTAGAGAAACGACGTTAACATGAAAGTAGACGATTACGTTTCCTTTCAATTCGAACTCAACCATTGTTCTACATCTGATTTTGAGTTATTTAAATCTCATCAGGAACACTTGTGGTAGTTCAAACAAGGGTGAACTGTAGATGTATTGTTTAAGGTTATTCCTCACATCGTCAAATAGCTTCCAGCAAGCTTAGATTTGCGGTTTACCTAATTCGCTATCAAAGAGAAGTCTCCTGTTGCTTCGTATAGAGGTCGCTGCTAGCGTGCTAAGGCATGTTGTTAATATAACGGACCAAATATATTGCATTTAATTTCAGTTTGAACTACCACAGTGAGAGTTAAATAACTCGAAACACATGTGGTGAAAGGTAAACTTTTCACTCAAAGGTTGAACATGAAGGAATGTTTTGAACCGATCGGAAAAATTTAATTCTGAAATTAAGAACATTCATGGTCGTCTTGCATATTAAATAAAAACAGAAACAGTATAATATTGAACCAACAATTAAAACACCAAGTAAATGCAAACACTTATTTTGAACAAAATCTCAAAATCACTAAATGTTATCTTGTCTAAAGTTAAATTAAGTGTTATAGCTTATACTATGATCTACACAACTGAACATTAACTCTAGTAATCAAAAACTTGAACAAATACAGTGAACGTCAATAATTATAGTGAGGCTTCGCTACACAAATTTTAAACACCCTATTTTATCGGCATAGGTAAGTAATGGAAGAATTGGTAAATAACATATGTTATCAAGAATAACAAAATGTGTTTAACAGGGTAGAGAGAGAGAGCGTGAAAAATGAATGCAAATAAAACAAAAAAAAAACTAGTGATAACAACAAGGAAGGAATTTCACAAGATTGAAGAAAGGAAATAACAAAAAACCACAATCAATTCAGAAACACACACAAGAAGGGATTCAGAGATGACATGTAAAGGAAAAAATTTATTTAAAAATTCCTTTATAAAAGGTATAATAGTAAAAATCCTATCGAGCTACATCACAGAACGTTTTCGTAATAACTATTACATCGTCAGTGATGAAGCCACTAAATATATGGGTTATAACCCTTTAAATGTTGTTTGATTAACTTTGAGTTACATTTTTGATAATTAAAAATTGTGGTGTTCAAGTTTCAAAAAGAATTGATTGCATGGTAATGTAAGACTCCACTGAGGTTGCTAGTCCTTAGATGAAGTGTCTGTGAGGACTTGTTTGATAGCAACAGAAAACTTCATGTTTTTATAATCGTTATATATTAATTAAAAAAAAATGTATTTAGTTGGTTTGAGAGAGTTCGATCGCCTCTCCTTGGATCCGCCGCTGTCCAAGTCCACAGCTGTGAGTTTTTAAGAAAAAAAGGTTTAAAGTTCTAAAATTTCAGAATTACTATACATTTATGTATAAATTGCTAAGAACTAATCAATTTATTAAATTAACTTGCCAACAACAAAAAAAAATGTGTGTGAATGTATAGTAATTCTAAACTGTGAAAACTTTAAACCATTTTTTCTTAAAACTCACAGCTGTGGACTTCATATTTTGTTGCTGGGACCCCTCCATTTTAAATGTCCATTTTTTTCAACTACAACATTCCGATTATTTGTAATGCTCCTATTTGTAATTCGACATCCTTAATTTTTATAGTTTTTGGAAGGAAATATTGAAATATTTGTCGAATGTCGCTAACCTAATATCGGATACTATATTCGCGAGTGTCGATATTCTCAAGCATTTTTTCTAGGAGAGTAAAAAATTTAATTTTGCCCCTTGTTTCTAATTTCTTTAATTACGCTTTTCAATGGTACTGATAGAGAAATATAAAATAAAATAGAGCTTTTCAATATCAGAGTATTGAATATCTTGTTAATAAACAGCCAGTGCCCATTCAGTTGTTGAATAGAAAAAAGGAAGCAATGAAGTCGGCCGATCAGAATAATACGAGAGTTAAGTGCGAGCAAAGTCAAGAAGCGAAAATTTACTTGAAAAAAAAATGTTATGAACACACCGTCATACCATTGTTATTGATTTCCCAATTTTTAATTCCAAACGATAATTACTGCATTTTGGTACAGAACAGTATTGTCTGCATTTTTTAACATTATGGTACCTTATTATGCCTTATTTTATATTTTATATTAAATGTCAAAAGTTTTGCTCTCCTACGTGCTCTAATTCAAATTTTTTGCCGCACCGTGTAGCCTCTTTCGTTTGACATCATGAATACTAATAATTCGCTGATACGCCACAGAATCAATGTTCAACTTTCAATTGTATTGGGGTGAAAGGATTTCGGTCTTTCTTGCAGGTGAAAGGTTTGCAGTTATTTGCTGTATCTTTATGCAAATTGGTTATAGTAGGTGATTTCTGATACTTTTGTATTTACATTTTTGTACACTTTTCACAGATATTCTAGTCGAATGTTAGACTTTTCATACTTTTGAATTTTAGATTTAGCCAAATACTTGATTTTCAGCATTATTTAGCATATGGGATCATCAAATATTTATGTAATTTTAATTGTCACCTTAAATAATTTTAAATATCAATGCACGATGATAAGAATATTTCTATTGTAAGAAGTTCGTTATCCCCATACATTTATACAGGGTGATCCGTAAATAAAGGGTATTACTTTACTTTTGCAGATGAAATAGCAAAAAATATTAATTTTTTACCTATACCTAATCAAATATTATTATGTACAGTATTAGAGAATGATAAGTTATAAAAGTAATTTCGTATTATTATATTAGTTTATGCATACACTTAAATTAAACTACAAAAATATAAGTATTTATCTATAAATAATATAAATATAAGTATTTATATTATATTGTTAACCTTAACAAAAAAGACTCATGAAGATTCTACCAACAGATAAACAGTTATAGAATGCAAACCCAGAATAATAGAACATTTTGAAGAACTGCTTAATGACGATCATAAAGATAAAATGAAAGCGCCCATGATTCAAATGAATGAAAATGATCGGCAGCCACTCCCTGTTGAAGAAGAAATTAGAGAAACCATTTTAAAATTGAAAAATAACGAAGCCCACGGTTCGGAAAATCTCCCTGCCGAACACCCTTTTGAGACATATACATAAATTAATAACTGAAATCTGCCAACAGAAAGAAACACGCGCAGACTGAAAATTAGGCATACTGTGTCCACTTCACAAAAAGGGAGACATGGTGTCTGATAATTATAGAGACATCACTCTACTCTAATATAGCATATAAAGTACTGTCCGTATTGTACAAAAGAATGCTCCCCTTCGCTAAGCAAATAATGAAAGAATATCAGTGTGGTTTCCGACCCAATAAATCGTCAACGGGCCAAATCTTTACAGTGAGACACATTTTTGAAAATACCCTATAGTTTGGCGTTGACACCCATCGCATATTCGAGGATTTCAAAACCGCATACGACTCAGTTAATAGGTATAAACTTCTCCTGGATATGGTGGAATTCTAAATACGGCTTCATATTATTCAACTAACTGAACTTACACTCACAGGAGTAGTGAGCATGGTCAGAATCCAGAATGATCTTTTAAGATCCTTCCATTGCAAAAGCGGGCTAAGACAGGGTGGGCTTTCGTGTCTTCTATTTAAATAAAATTGTCCTAGAAAAAATATCGTGCACTAGAAAATTTGAAGGTCCCAGATTAACATAAATGGTACTACCTTTATCAAATCTGTACAATTTATCTAATATGCAGATGAGATCGACATCACAGTTAGGTCCACAGAGTCTCTGACTCATATGTCATCTAACATCTACACAGAGAATGGGCCAAGAGATCAAATATGGGTGTTGTACTAGGTCAAGCAACCAGACACTTAGAAGAATAATAATTGACGATTTAAAACTAGATGTGGATACCTTCATATACTTAGACTCGATTCGCTGTTGACTAAAGATCAACGTCAACGGAGAATTTAAAAGAACGGTAATGATTTACTAATACGT